GATCACAAGCGTTTTTCAATTTTACTAAACTGTGACTTTTCCTGCTGTTGACATTTTGCGCCATTTTCATTCTTAGCATACAGAGCGGTGGTTGAAGATAGGAATAACTTTTACTAACTCACAGCAGGTATAGCTTATTATTCACCAAGATGTGACGTCAGAACCTTCGGAAAACAACCACTCCTCCACTCTCTTGACTGAACTTCGAATCATGTGTCAAGCTTTGAATATATGTTAATGAGCGCACATGTAGGTCAGTAGAGCGGTCATTTTTTACCACCCAATATCTTCCTTTCTACATTGGGTTCAGTGTCGTCTTGTTGCAGAAGTTTCCTATTTCACCTTGGATATTTCTGTTTCAAGGCCTATGAAGGACTCCCCTATTGATTCCTTTCAGAAAGTAATTAGCCTTATTTTAAGCCCTGTATAAATCCATTATCACGACATCTGTTGTCCTTGCCCTAGCATTCTGATTATTCATTTTCAATAAATTTTTCAAACATTTTCGATTACTAATTTGCATGAAATTACTTTCTTCTCACGTGACTGAGCAAATGACATTTATTAAATTTCAAGTCGGTAAAATGTTTCCATCACTTAGAAGAAGAAAGAAGGAAAAAATTTTTTTATTGAAAAATGTTACTTTGAATATATTCCGGAATATAGGGCAAGATTAGGAAAATTTTGCTTTTGGCCAAAGGCCAGTTGTAGCTTTTTTAATAGTAGCCGCTTTATTATTTTTTTTTTTTAAATTTAAATTTTAAACGATAAAAATAATTGGGCGATCGGGCGGCGACTGCTAATTTGGTCCTATACTGGAAGATTGAAAATGGGTGATTACTGGGATATGGAATCGGAATCAAAGAAAATTTTGCAGGAGTTGGAGTAGAACTATTTGCTCGACTGTTTTTTTCAATAACAATATCTTGAGTAAATGATGAATAGGATATGCATTTATTAAAAATTCACGGTAAGTAGTTCTCATCGAGCTTTTAAATTCTAAATGAAATAAATCAATTCAAGAGTACGGAATATATATTATATTCCGTATANGGGGGGGGAGAAATTATTTCAGTTTAACTAACTGTTAACTAACACCATCAAATTAAAGCGTGTTATTTTCGATAATTTTCGCTAACTAGAAAAGGCATGATTTTTTTCAAGTTTTTATTAATTTCAATCGCGATGCACGAATAGAAAATTTTAAATAGTTTTACAATTTTTCATGCTGTTTTTATTCTTATTTCAGTAGACAACTTTTCCGCACTAAAGAGTTTCGAAATTGAAAAACTTATTTTTTCCGACCCACCTTAAAGTACATACGCGTAATATATGCATGTCTAATGTATTTCTGAACCTATGTACAATATTTATATATGTACATTAGTTGTACATTTATAAATTGAACCTATGCACATGTATACGTTAGACGCACATTATGGTACATATGTTCATACATACATTGTAAATATGAGCATTCGTATTTTGACATACGTGTTGGTACATGTATGTCTAAGATATATATGCCCATATTTATAATGTACATATCAAAGTAGTAATCAAAATTAGCCAAGTACTAATTGATTTCTGTATTCGAGAAATGTTATCTGTTACATTTTTGTCCAATTCTGATAAATACCAGCGTCGATGTTGATACACTAAAAGTAATGTATTTTATAGCGAGGAAGATATATCAAGAATTAAAAAGAAACTTTTAAAATTTTAACTTCAATTTTAAGATTCCAATCTTATCGTATCTTCCTAATTATATTTGCACAGTTTTAATAAGAGAATTTGTAGGGGGGGGGATCCACGATGAAATATTATTTTTTACCAGTAACCATTGAATAAAATGAAATTCTTAACTTGGAGTTTTATTTATTCCCATTGGGAAAATGAATATTGTTTTTAAGTTTCTCCATGCCCGCACATTTTTCAACTCGTTGAACTTCATTGTCTAGATGAACTTCAACACCATAATTACAACTAAAGAGTTGTAAGAGTCAGAAAAAGTCAGAATAACATAAGCATTCATGAAAAATCAGCACAAAAAAGATTAAATTAGAAGAAGCAGACGATAATTTTGGAATGTCTTGGAGTTGATGATTTTCCAGTCTAAGTTTTTTCTTCTTGTTTTCGCCATCACACATTTTACATAATTTGTTTTTAAGTATGTATTAATTTAAAGTAATATGTTCTTTTTAATATTAACTTATTCATAACTGGTTTCTTGCAATTCAAGAAATCATAGTGCCTAATAACCATGTGATTAAAATCAATTTAATTGGATGCATGTAAGCGACTTCACGCGTTTGTATGGAACCTCATTGATTGATTGGATCAACAAATGCCACAATTTTCCTACATTGACTTCACTTGTGGGGTATCACTTCACTTCTTATCGAAGTACCCAATTACTGCCTTTTAATATAAATATGAATACTGAGGGAAGAAAAAAAATTGTGACTTCTAAAGATACTTACATTGGCTGAATTCAGTCCATTGGATCGAAATGTCTGAGGTTTTTATAAAAATTTATCCTAAAAACTTTTTGATTAATGGGTAACCAGTGATCGCAATAATGAGATCACAATTTTCTCTGTTTTTTAATTAATCGTTATTATATTCTAATACATATTTAATTTGTATTCGAATTTTTGTTATTCGTTAAATGACTTATACATATACAGATTTACAGTTTAATTTATTTAGTCTGATACATTTGTGATCGAAGATGGAGCTTATTTCACATTCCTGACTCAGAGATGAAAGATCACCTGCTGGCTGAGTGATTAAAATTGCTCTTGGTCTTCCCTTTGTTTATATCCCCATTTCGTTTGGGATCACGTGAATGTCACGTTCTGGCGTCGCGCCAGTCGGGTGGTCGACTTAAGCTTCCGTAAAAGTTAGCGGAAATCATCCACTACCTTCTTTTTACTATAAAATATTTTACTTTTCTAGTAACTTTCCTTAAACAGTTTTCGTCTCACTTGATTTTAATTCTTTTTTTCCTTTTTATAAATGTTTTATTAAGCATTTAGTATGACATGCTTAATTAAGTTATTTTAGGAATAAATGTATATAAATATTCAAATGTCGATTATTATTAATTTCTATTTATCTTATTAGCATTGAACACTTTTAATATTCTTTTGAATAACTTTTTAAGAATGGCGTTGTTTTTAGACACACACACACAGCAAACTATAAAGTTCCTTATTTTACACATTTACTCCTATTTTCCAAATAGTATATAATTTAGAGAAGAAATAATATTTAAAAAGGAAAAAAGATTAAATAAAATTATAAAAAATATTACTTATCAATTATAACAAAATTATCGTCGTGAAATTTTAAAAATGTATTTCATTATTATACTATAAATTTTCATTATTATACTAATTACTATAAATTTTTAATTTTTTTAAAGCTTTTAATAACTTTTATATTTTATTTCTTTTTTATTTCATTCTTTGTTTTCTTTGTATATTTATCTTATATTATGGGTTTTATATACTTGCAACTAATGCGCAGTAAATAAAACTTAGTAACTCTTACAATCGTAATTTTTCTTAAAATAAGTCTAGTCGCATTTGGTCCTTCGGCCCTTAAGCTCTTTTACTTTAATTCGATGAATCGCAAAAAAATTTAGTATCTAAGAAATTAATTAAATATCTAAATTAAGTAGTTAAGATGTACAGTAAAAATTCAAGCATCATTACATTCTTTCATTCGTGACATCGTCTTAGGAAGGAAGTCATTATAAAAGCCTGACAAACGTCTTTTAAATGGGTTTTTAGGAATCCTTCATAGATTAACATTCACCTTACAAGTATCACCTAATCATTCTGTGACTTTAATATAAAAAAACTTTCACTGAAGAGCTGAGAAACACCAAAACATTTTATATATAGTGAAATAAATGAACCTAATTTGATGTGTATCTTTTTTACACACTTCAAAATGTTATTGCTCAAATCAAAGTCTAGGCATAATGTGTCGTGACTCATGGTCTCTCTTATTTAAAATATAATTTAACCGACAGAACCACATTCGGCAACAATTCATAAGAGTATAGTCTGCAGGCGTCGGACTTTAAAGTGGAAATAAAAGGGAGGGAGGAAAGTTTCTAATATCAGAAGGATCATTTATTGAGTTTCATGTTTCTCAAATGGATTATGTTTGGGATTTTTAAATTCAAATACGAAAAAAATCTTGTGTCTTCCCCTTTATTTATTTTTTTTCATCTTACTCTTAACTACATAATTGCTTTTATATCTAGATCAACATTTCTAATGCTGTTTGGTTACTTGTCAATAAAATAAAGTCAAGCGGAGGAAATTATGCTGTTATTTTTTTTTCTTTTTTTTTGTCAAACTTAAATCGCAATGATTAAAAATATTATGTAAAAAAAATTTAATATGTCCCCTTTAAAAAAGTTGTTATATAATGGGAAAATTCATGTTCTATGAAATATTGGAATGAATTATTTAATTCGAATGAAAAAATATTTATAGAAGAAAGGAAGAAAAATGACACATTGTTTNACTAGCTATATAATGATGTTCGAGTAAATATTTAATTAAATTCGGGCACAACGACACGAATTGAATAAATATACATCATTTTTCCTTCCATCATTCGGCCTAAATGTTTATAGCTTCTAGAAAATTCAATAAAAAAAATTTTTTTTGTCCCGTTTAGCTATGAAATCAATGCCTAAATACGTAGACTGACAAAAACTTAAGCACCTTATGTGCTGTCCATTTAAGAAGTGGGGGCTTGTTTACATGTGCACACCCCCCATTGACGCAGTTTCCTCTCACGTTGTTGAGGTGAAGTCGAAAAACTTCGTAACGAGTGATCGGAGGCTTTTATTTATCTCATCCTCAGGTCTTTTTAGTCGAGGGGACGAATAGTCAAAAGAATTTATTGGGATTGTTTAATCTGTATAATTTTCAGAGTCACTTTGTGGTTTTATGTAAGGATTTTCTTTCCAGGCAGAATGAATCCCCCCGGCGGATCATTAGACGAAGCGCCCCGTGACCCCGGCGCTCGGGCTGCTCACCACAGCTACACAGACAAAGATTTTGAAGGTAAGTTTTTACTAACATTAAACCTTGGCGAACAAATTATTCTTTGGCCAAGCATTAAACATACAAACGATATCCCATTAAATTTGAATCAAACTTAATTCTGAGATTTATTTTAATCGAGTATTTTAAGAAAAAATTATTATTTTTTTTTTTATTAGAGTTTTCTCTCTGCATTTCTCAGATTGTCCATGTCTCCTTGCCTTTTTTATAATGATTTGAATCCGTGAATAACTTGAGTTTTTATTACCTTTTAAGTAATACAGATGGCGCTTTTAAAGTATTAAAATTTTTATGTTCAAAGTTCAGTTTATGTTTTGTTTTTTTTTCTCAAGGCTTCTTTCGCGTATAAGGAACGTATAAATTTTTTTTTTTTCCGCACTCTTCCAAAAGCGTGTAAGTGTATAATTCTTACTGAAAATGTTTAATCTCTCTTTACTTCGTTTCATTGCCAAAAAATATACTATTAAACTATTTAAATTATTATTTTTAAAAGAATAAAATCCCATTATTTTAATTTATCAAGACTTGACGATATTTAAAATAACGTATAAATATATTTAAAATAACGCAAAAAACGTATAAATATATATATTAATCTTTTTTAAGAAAATTATAATTTTAAAAATTTGCCATAGTTGCAGAGATTAAAAATTTCTTGTGATATCTAGAAAATAATCTAATTAAAGTAAAAAACTTAAAAGCTATTCCTGGATATTTTTTTTTATCCTCTGATTTATGAATTATTAGGCTCCAAATGAAATTAGCGTTTTTTTTTTTCCCCCCAAGATATTTTACAAAGCATTTAAAAAAAATCCAACCTTGTAATTGTTATGTCTTTTTATTTGTATTGTAGACTCTAATTTAATCTTATAGAATTTTAGTCTGTTGGTAAGTATAATTGTTACTTTGCACTTATTTGAATGAAATTTTAATTTTATGAAATCTCAAGAATAGGGTCTTATCATCATTAAATATAGTTTTAGACTTTAGTGTTAAAAATAGATTTTTTTTTTTTTACTATAATTTAATACTTAGTATCTACATTTATTCAGAACATAATTCCTAATCTAATTTTATTATTTTGAATAGTGTTTTTATTTGAAGGCTTATTATTTTTTTTTTTTTGTGCATTATCATTATTTTTGATAATATAACAAAAAAATATTTTAAAATTAAGATTGAATATTTTTCTTTAAAAAAATTATATTGTTTTATTTAATCATATGTATCTTAATCATATGTATAAGGAAAAAAAAACAGTGAAAGGGAATCTTGAAATGATTTTTTCTTTTGCTACATTTTAAATATTTAATCTATATATATATTTATTGAATTGAATTGGGAAAACAACTATAAAAGTAAACAAAATTTCCTTTTGAAAATCAAATTTTAGTTATTTTATCTACCATAAAAAGGAGAAAGATTTTTTCTTTTCATTTCTGCGATTGACAGTTATTCTCTGGTTCNTATATATATTTTTTTTACTATAATTTAATACTTAGTATCTACATTTATTCAGAACATAATTCCTAATCTAATCTAATTTTATTATTTTGAATAGTGTTTTTATTTGAAGGCTTTTTTTTTTTTTTGTGCATTCTCATTATTTTTGATAATATAACAAAAATATATTTTAAAATTAAGAGTGAATATTTTTCTTTAAAAAAATTATATTGTTTTATTTAATCATATGTATTTTAATCATATGTATAAGGAAAAAAAAACAGTGAAAGGGAATCTTGAAATGATTTTTTCTTTTGCTACATTTTAAATATTTAATCTATATATATATTTATTGAATTGAATTGGGAAAACAACTATAAAAGTAAACAAAATTTCCTTTTGAAAATCAAATTTTAGTTATTTTATCTACCATAAAAAGGAGAAAGATTTTTTCTTTTCATTTCTGCGATTGACAGTTATTCTCTGGTTCAATTAACTTTATTTCCAGGCCACAGAGCTCATACAGTCTACGTAGGCTTACATGTTCCTGGTTACCACAGGCGGAGTCATCACAGAAGACATAGGCACCATCATAAAAATGGTCATAAGAAGAAAGAAGATGGAACGTCCGTGGAATACCCTCATGACATACACAGGCCTGGTGAGCACTTTCAACTCAACTTCTTTTATTTTTTCAAACTGTCATATTTCACATGTCAAATACATATGATCTTTTACAAACACCTGTCGGAAAAACTTTCATTGATCCGGGGAACGCGAGGGCCAAAGCAGTAATGCATTGTCTGTACTAATAGAAATGCAACTGATCCACCATTATAATCAAAAATGTGTTATTGAGAGCGTTGTTTTACTGCCAATTTTGTTTCTGCAGAAACGATGATGATTAGACTTCCAGCTCCAACCATTCAAAACTTACTTAATCTATATACATTAAATTACATGACTCAATCTATATTACAGATTATTCAAAACTTAATCTTTTCTGCATGTATATATACAGCTTTAATGAATACATTTGTTACATGTTTCATAGTAAACCCACGAAGCATTTTGACCTATTATGTAGTATAGCCATTTTAATTCACTACTGTTTTGTGTGAAATATCTATTTTTAAGATTAGATTATGTTTCTGCTATGAAACATATTCTGTTAATAACTCAGTGGTTACACACTGTAATAGTAGTGTGTATTTCATTATATAATAGCTTTTATTAATACATAATGCAGAATTTCTGAAATATAACAGCCCATCAGCAGAAAACATGAGACCCCACTCATTTAATTAGAAGAAGGGGCTCAATGTTTTAATTCTTTAATGTTTTACTAAGATTTTTTATTGTGTAAATTAAGTTTTTAAATATGAGTTAAAATGAAGCCTGAATACTATTGTCATTGTTTTGTCTATCAGTGTCTTTTAAAAAAAGTTATTATTTATCTCACAAAGTATGTTTAAGTTCAGAGTTTTATTGTAATGTAAGTTTTGTTTTTTATCATAGTTTTTGAAATTCTCATTCGTTTTGAAAAAAATAATAATAACTTTAATATTCTTGAGGAAGATGAATATTAATAGAAATTAAACAAACAACACTGCAGTATTTTTTCTTTAATCAGATATTGAAAGCTATTAGCTAATCCTATGATTACAAACTGTCAGTGATATTTACATTCTGTGTGATCTTTAGTGGCCAGATTTCCTAACGTGAAAGTTGTGTACCTCAGTTGGCTTTTGTCGTTAATATTCAATTACAATTAATAAATACGATAATTACAGTAATTAAATAAATGTTGTTTTGCTTTGCTAGCTATTATAACAAACGTCCTAATCTTTGTATCGAGAAGAGATTTTTGATCTATTCTATTATGTAAAGAGTTTTGCCTTATTCTGTGTGAAGAGGAATATCTTTGTCCCTAAAACTGGTTGGGAAAAACAATTTCTTCTAATCTTGAGAGGAGGCCAATACTTACTTTTTTTGGTTAACTTAGCTAATCATGTGTTGTCTTTATTTTTTTTAAAGCAAAACTCTGTTCTTTCCAGTCACCCCACCTGCTGAGAGAGTTCACTTCATCCTTGGTGAAGGTGAAGATGATGGCCTTCATGAATCTCACCCCCTCTTCAGTGAGATGGAAGAACTCCACTACGAGGGGGACGAAATGGAGTGGAGGGAAACTGCCAGGTCTCTAACCTTTTCTAGTGTTAATGTTATTAATCTTTTGCTTTCATTCAACTTTCTTTCTCTTTTTATGGGTCCTTGACTGAATCTAAACTATAACAAGATTCTTAAAACCGGAAGGAATTTAGAAAACTTCCAATACATCCCCCCCATTTATGTTATGCCTACGAGATAATGTGTGAACAGAAGTTTTATCAATGTAATTTATGTTTAAATTTTTTTGTGATTTTACCTTTCATAAGAGGATCTGGTAATTTTTAAATTCTAACTGGTTGGGAACCTAAAACAAATTACAGAAAATTAATATCGCAACATGAATAAGTTATAAGATTGGCAATGTTTTTAGATTTATTCCTTATTTGGCTATATTTGTGTGAAATATCACCTTCATTATATTTTGGGTTGCAGAGCATAGCATGCTTGAGGAGTCTTCCAATTTCATATGTAATTTTTTTTATTGGAATTTAAAGTGAAAAAAGGCATTATATTGAAAATACTACAAGTATAATAATATTTGATGGCTCCCTTTTTTAAGCTTAGGCATAAAAATCGATCGGAAATAGTAGCTCGAAAGTTTTACAACAAATTTTAACCTGTAGAGCCATCGGTGCTTAGCTTTACACGGTCAACCATCCATACATTTACTGTTTTGTGAATATCATTTGTAATTAAAATAAATACTTCTTATGCATCAGAAGGATAATACACTTGACAGGTCAATATATTCTATTCTTCTGGTAGCCTTATAAATTGACTATCTGTTTCCGATTTTCCTAAAGAAAAGGAGTGCACTAGAGGGTTAAAAAAAGTGCTGCAGTTTGTCCTCCGAGGTTGCCATATGCTGCACTGAAAATTTGGCAATTCTCACGGCGCTACTTTCTTTTATTGTACTAAATTTAGAAGAAAATTCAAATTATGTTACACAAAGAGAAATTGCTAAAAAATATGCTATTTTTTAATTATGATGCCTTTTTTTAAAAATGTATTTTGTTCTGTGGGCAGTACATTAAATTAAATTAATACAAAACTTAAAATTATTACTTAAACATTAAAACTTATTACAAAGTCTCATTTAATTGTGGGAAGTGTTGTTATCGACAATGTCAACTTTCTACTATGAAAAAGTACCCCAACATAGAATCAAGTTAACTTGTCTTATATACTAGTAAATTGGAATTGTATTTTTGTAGTGGTAGACACACTACAGTACTCCCCCACCAGAAGTATATCTGTGATAGAATTCAATGAATTAACACTAGTCAATTCATTGCTGTTTTGTGAGAATCTGGGAGAGCTGTATTAAGATCATCGTACTTTTGCTGATCATGAGAGCTGTATTAAATTCAGAGCCATGATTTTTCCTGTGTTGCCATTAGCAGTCGAGTGTATGTAGGCCGACATTGTGTTAAACCGAGACTGAGTAGCAACAGCCCGAGGAGGTGGAGCCATCTAAGCTACTAAAAACTGATGAACCAGAGCTTCTTAACGCCATCTATCATATCATGGTTAAAATTTGGGATACGGAGAAATTGCCCATTGAATGGGAAGAAGGCTCCATTTGCCCCATATTTAAGAAAGGAGACCAACTTGAATGTTGTAACTATAGGGACATTATACTCCTCAATACAGCATATAAAATATTCTCCAACTTGCTTTTTGCAAGACTTCTCCCTTTTACCGACAAACTGATTGGAGACTACCAATGTGATTTTAGATCACAAAGATCTACTTAAGATCAAATTCACACCCTAAAACAAATTTTAGAAAAAACTAAGGAATATAATATCAAAACTTTTCATTTATTTATAGACTTTAAAGCTGCTTACGACAGCATAAGGAGAGATAAACTACTGGAAGCAATGGCCGAATTTGGGATCCTTACTAAACTCATTAACTTAACCAGAGCTACACTGAGTGATATAAGACGCAGGGTTAAAATTCAAAATCAATTATCGGAACCATTTTCAACTGAGAGAGGCCTGCGCCAAGGGGATTCCCTCGCCTGTCTGCTCTTTAATCTAGCTCTGGAGAAATGTATCAGAGATAGTGGGTTAGACCTAAAAGGTACCCTTTGGAATAAATCAGTTCAATTACTGGCATATGCCGATGACATCAATGTCATAGGAAGGTCAGAGAGAGCTGTGAAAAAGGCCTTTCTGGCTCTTGAAACTTCTGCCACAAATATGGGCCTTACCATCGATGAGGATAAAACTAAATTTATGGAATCTCCAGCCACAACTGTAAATCATGATCCTTTATTCATAAATGGTTACACCTTTGAAAAGGTTAATGAATTCAAATACCTTCAAACAATGATCAATGACCAAAACAGCATAAAAACAGAAGTAGACAACAGAATTAAAATGGCAAACAACTGTTTCTTTGGACTAAGAAAGCAATTAAGATCAAGCCTATACTCAGTCGAAAAACTAAAATTAAAATTTATAAGACTCTTATTCTACCTGTAATGCTCTATACAAGTGAAACATGGACACTAAACGCAGACACTCAGCGTACTCTTGTTGTTTTTGAGAGGAAAATCCTTCGAAATATTTTTGGCCGAGTACAGGAAAGAGGCTGTTGGCGAATCAAATACAACTTTGAATTATATAGACTCTATGGACAGCCACAGATAGTGCAGGTCATCCGAAGCAACAGATTAAGATGGCTTGGCCATATCTGGAGAGGTCCAGAAAACAACGCAGTATGAATCACCATCTTTAAAAATCCTTCTGAATCTCGGGCCGGGCCAGAGGAAGACCTCCAACTAGATGGCTGGATGACACTACTAAAGATCTCAAAGTAATAAAGATTAACAACTGGAAAAAAGTCGCCATGGATAGGAGGCGTTGGAGGCTANATGTTTATTTCATCATTTTGATATTTTCTCCATTACTATTACAATACTATTTGCTCGAATTTTATTCAGATGTTGACAAAGGCAACCTGATGACCGTCAAATTTTCTAACAGTAATGTAGAAGAGTCAGCAGATGTAACAAGTCATTTTTCACTTTAAAAAAAAAATTGTAAGAAGGGAGGCAGAAAATAGACCAGTTTATTGAATCAAAATATACAGGCAAGTTCTTCATAATTCCAAATTCTTGGCGTATCAGATTTATTATTAGGCATTCACTCTGGTTTTTGGAGCGGTTAGTAGTGGTATAAATGTTTTTTTTTTCTTTCTTTTTTTTTTACCTTGCTTGAATAAGAGTTTGAGAAAACAATCATATTTTGCATTACACGTAAAGAGGAACCGCGGAAATATCTTTCAGATTGCTTGATTCCATTTAAGCTCAGTAATCGCAATGAATTTTTTATAATAAATAATTTTTTTAACATCTTTGAGAGACTTCTTTGTGAATACGAGGGTCATTCTGAAATTTTTGAGATACAACTAGGTTTTTAAAGTTACACTTACAAAATTTTAGGTGTGTTCAAAGTAGTCTCCTTCAGCATCAATGTACTTTTGTAGTCGAATTTTCCACAGATTAAATGCCTCAAGCCATTTATTTCTTGGAATAGATGAAAAAAATGCATTTATAGCCACATCAATCTCTTCTTCTAAATAAAAACGACGTCCACGTAATTTCTTCTTTAGATAAAAGAATAACCAAAAGTCACACATGGCTAGATCAGGTGAATACGGCGGATGTTCTATCACTTTAATTTGTTTAAGAAACTCAACTGTTAATCCGCCTGTATGTGAAAATGCATTGTCATGGTGAAGCATTAGTCCCCTAACATTCACTTGTTGTAGAATTTCTGGAAGACATTTAGTGGTATACCAGTTTGCTGTTACTGTTTTCTGTCCTTCCAACTTGATGGCTTTGACCAATCCTGTACTTCTGAAGAAAGCGGCATACATCACTTTTTTCAGTACGCGTTGTCTTTTCACCATTGTCGGTGTGGGATCCTATTCAAAGACCCATACTTTGCTTTCTTGACACGTTGGAACGTCAAAAAACGGTATGTACGTTTCATCACCCGTTACAATTTTAGAAATGATGCGGTGGCCACCATCATTTAGCAATTTAAGAGTTTCTTTACTGGTTCTGACACGCTCCTCTATTTGGTGCTCAGTTAGATTATGGCGAACCCAACGGCAAACTACTTTTTTCACATGTAATTCTTCATGAATAATTTTGTGTATGGCTGCAGATCCAATGTTAAGTTCCTTCTGTACAATTTGATCGGTACAGCGATTATCATCCTTTAACATTTTTCGTATGGCGGACACATTATCCGGGATTACTGCTGACGGCAGCCTTCCTGTGTGTTCTTCATCCTGAAGAAAATTGCGACCTCTGCTAAATTCTTTAAACCATCTGAATACAGTAGCACGAGTTGGAGATTCATTACCAAATGCCAATTGCAACCGTTGAATGCATTTTTCTTGATTTAGCCCTGCTTTAAAATCATCGAAAATCATAACGCGAAAATGTTCTCGCGTCAACTCCATTTTCTCTTCTGTTTAAAATTTATTCTACGCTAAACAAGTTGAAGTAAGTCAGTAAAAAATCATCTGCTATGTTAAAATACTTTGTATTTTAAAATTAAACCGTTATTTTTATTTTGTAAATTCTCGTCTGCGCGTATCTCAAAAATTTTAGAGTAACCCTCGTATACTAGTGAATTGGAATTGTATTTTTGTAGTGGTGGACGCACTACAGAGTGAATATTTTATTGAATACTGATTCATATAACCTTCATGCATGGAGAGCTCTCTGATCTATTTATTCAAGAAAGTGAATTTAAAACACATAAGGGGAGATTGATAGAAGAAACACACAGGAGTGATTTATGCAAACAAAAACATTTCACAATTTCAATGCTGTCTCAAAATTTTAGAAGCACATTAAATTTATAACACGGAACAAGGGCGCCGGCAGAGTAATATGAAAGGAGATGCAACCCTCTAACAAACTACCTCCCCCCCAAAAAAAACATTTAATATATTCTGTTATTACATTTTATTTTTTATTACCTATACTTGCATCTGTTAATTTTTTTCAAGATAAATTTCTTCATTGTTAACAAGATATTTAAAAAAAAAAAAGTAGGAATTTCTTTTACTTGCAAATTTTGCCACGAGAAACTGTATTGATGGCATTGGCATAGCTACTGACTTTGAAACACAAATAACTACAAACCGTAGTTTTGTGCACGCTTACGCTTGTCATTGGTATTTATTGTGTTGATGAAGTTTTATAGTTGTGAGAAGTCAGTTTGTGTTATACACCTTTGTTAAACTAAATAACTAGAAAATATAATATTATTTATATTTTATTAAATGAAATTTAAAAATATAGCTTAGATATCTGCCAAGTTTGTGCATGCTCAGTGTGCATAAGAAAAGAATCAACGATGACTCAGAATTCATTGAAAAAGTTATAAACAGATTTGGACAGCAAACAAGACTATTAAAATTCTTGTTTGATTAAACAATTATTTGTTTTTGAATGAAATATTTTTGATAAAAAAAATTTTATAACAAAATTTTTTTTCTGTGTCTCTTTGTTTTTAAAAAAAAGCCAGGGGTGCAAGTGCACCCCCTTGCACCCCGCTTGCACTGAAATGATATAAAATATTTAAATATAATTTTCTAAAATTAATTTGTATTTTAATCAACTGAAATATGTTTTCTATAAATTTACATATTGACAAATTTTCTCTTAATTTTTAAGCTTAAATATAAAAGGTAAAACAAAAATTAATTTTTTTATTCACTTATTTCTTATTTAATTTTTTTTTTTTTTTTGCATGACTTGTGTCAAACTAATTGCTCTCAAGTTATTACCAAAATCAGATGGCTTATCCTTTGGATGATTGATTTTCAAAACAATTATTGGTTCCTTCAATAAGTATATTAGGGGTGCATGCCTAAGTATTAGACAGACATGTTGACAGCAATTGAAGGTAGTAATAGTTATATAAACATCATTGTTCTAGGCACTGAATTCTTTTGTCCGTTAACCTTGTAATATGTTTACATAAATTAAATACTTTTTAATATTTAAAATTAAAAACTGCAAAACTGATTACTTATGGGAAAGAAACGTAATCAGAATCAATTTATCAGAAAAAAATTTAGGCAAATTGAAATGATTGAAAACTATGGGAAAATTCATGTTTTTTTTTTATCACGTTATATAATACATAAGTCCATTTAAACATAAATTTTAACACAAAAAAATTTTGTTCATAGAATTAAATTTTAAAAAAATAAATAAATATTCTAGTTATTAAAATAAATGCAAGTTAAATACTTTGATATAAAGAAGGTTCTTAAAGTACATTTAGTAGGGAATATACTTTAACTTTAAAACCTTTATTTTAAATTAAATATAAGATTCAGGGGCTGAGAGAGGGACGAAAGAAAGAAAACATTAATTTTGAAGAAACTATTTTTCTTAACTATAATAAAACTATCATGATACTTGTTTACAACTCTTTATGACCAATACTTTTTTAGCATGACACTTACTATTTACAATTGATACATTTATATATTAACAATTAATTAAAATTTACTTAACTTTACGAAACTTATTTTGATTTGATTACATTTTTTTACTGGTAGAATTTAATGATAATTTAATCATTTCCCAGCATATAATCATAAATGATATAAAATATTCTAAGTAGGTAGAATAAGGTTTAAAAAACTTCTTAATGGCAATTTCCAAAACTTTTAAATGTTGTAATAATTTTATTTAATTGATAATGTGATAGCTCTTTCGAGTCATTAAATGAAAATTTAATGATTTTGTTTAAAGACTGCTCTGTAATTTTGAACATGCCAAATTTATTCTGAAAAACAGTCTTTCGACAGAGAGGCAAATAACTTCATCAGTTTTGTAATCAGTCTTAGATGGTGTTCTTCCTTTCCTAATTTTTAAATCTTGTAAATACAAATAGCAATGTGTTATTTTTAGATTGCTTGAATACAAATTGCCATGTGTGTTTTTTAAATTATGTAAATAACAAACGCGATGCGTGATTTTCAAATCGCGTGAATATGAATTGAGATATGTGGTTTTTAAATTGCAAGAAGACTCACAACGTAAGATTTTTAAAATGCGTGAATATGAATCATGGTGTATGATTTTCGAATTGCGAGAAGCGTACCAACGCACTATTTTTAAAACGCCGGAACATGAATCGCGACGTGATTTTAAATCTCGTGAATAAGAATCGCTATGGATGATTTTTAAATCTCGTGAATAAGAATCGCGATGGATGATTTTTAAATCTCGTTAATGTTAATACAAAATGCAATGCGCAATTTTCAAATGGTATAAATACGAATTATGATGTGTGACCCTAGAAAGAGGGACCCTTTGCTAGCAAGTTTCATACGTGGGTATTTTTAAACACATTATAATTACGTGTTGAGTGTAATGTTCTTTGCATGTTGATTTTGACTTTCATTTGTTTCTCAGGTGGATTAAATTTGAGGAAGACGTGGAAGAGGGAGGCAATCGATGGTCTAAACCTCACGTAGCTACAATATCTTTGCATTCTCTTTTTGAGTTGAGAAGCTGCATTCTCAATGGGACAGTTATGCTTGATCTTGAGGCAAATAATTTAGATCAAATATCTGGTGAGTTAATAATTTCATTCTTCTTTTTTATTTTCAAAACACCATCTGTTAAAGGTACATGATTTTGTCTTCTGTCTTTAATTTATCATATTGCATTTTTTTGTTTAAACTTTTTTTTTAAGTTTAATTTAATTTAAATTTTTGATTATTAACATAACTATGAATATTTTCTTCTGGTTTGAGAACTGACTTGTATTCTGCCTCAATATATATTTTAAGCGAAATCTACAGGTAACAAGCATTACTTGTAATTATTTGAAATTTATGATTAATGATAATTATAAACAAAATGCACTTTTGTAAAATATTAGTTTTTCTAAGCGGTACAAGTGCACCCATGAATGAGAGCACGTAAACAGATTGAAGTTAAAACTTCAAATAATGCTTATCTTAGAGGTACAGTGCGCAAAGGGGGAAAAAAAACAGAACACCCTGAATAACTATTGATCTAATGATCAGATTTTCACGTATTTGGAATCTATCTAGTCACCTCAAATATGTTAATTTCTTAGCACAATCAATATTTCAAGACAATAATATACTTTCTCTTGATAATCATGCCTTTTTTTGGCATGATTATCAAGATTTCCTTACCCTCAAAATATAGGAAGAGTCGCAATCTGGGAAATATGGTCACAATAGTTTGGTCATAAGAGCAGTCCAAAATTTAGACCCCTTATTTTTAATTTTTGTGTATTTCACTATATCCGAAGAACTTTTTAAACAAATTTGAAAATTTTTCAACAAATTTAAGCAAATTTGAAATCAGTTATAAATTTTTTTATTTAATAATAGTCAAAAAAGTTTGAATGACACAATGTACAATTTTGTGCATCATTTTGAAAAATGTAATTTTAAATAGCAAAATACAAAGTTTGAGCGGATTCAGATGACTAGCTTCTGAGAAATGGAATTTTAAATATACGACTATTTAAATTACAACTTTTTAGGAATTATTGCCCGCTTTTGCTCAAATTTTGTATTTTGGCATTTAAAATTGCATTCTTTTAAATGATGTAAAAGAATTTATACATTATCATTTAAAATCTTTTTGACTATAATTAAATTAAATAATGAATAATTATTAAATATTTTTTGTATGGAATTAATTTTGGATAAAAGAATTTTATAATTCTGTGCCAAAATTTTTAAATTTGTTTAGTTCGCTATATACAGCTAAATATGTAAAAAGTAAAATTAACATCCAAAATTTTGGGCAACTCTCCTGTTCAAACTATTGAGACAATAGTTCCCAGATTGCAGCTACGCTCTGCATTTTGAAGGTCAAAAATTCATCGAAAGAAAGAGGTATGCTTATTCAGAGAACCTAATGTTTTGTCTAATTTTGTAACTTAAAATATCCTCTACACTAGGGGTGCACAACCTGCAGCAATCTGAACAAAATGAAGAAAAAAAATTTTTTTTTTGGAGGGGGGGGATTTGAAATTTTTCGCATTTAAGTTTTTGATGCATCCAATCTCAATCAATGTAGTTTTTTGATCGCTTTTTTCAATGGTTAACACTATGGATTTAAGCATAATTTTGAAAATCCCAATATTTTTAATACGTCATTATTACGATACACGAATTTCGAATTTTAGTTATCACTTTTGCCGCTCTTTGTGTGTGCCGACTTCATCGTAAATCCAATGACTTTTCGATGGCTATTGCAACCAATTTTCACGTAGTATATGAAATCGTGATTTTTGAAAGTTATGAAATGCTTTATTTGCGCAAACTTCATAGAAAATCTAAATGTCTTTTTATTCTTTCTTTCGGCAGTTATTGCTACGCATTTCCGCTTGGCTTAAAAATTTTGATATTTTATAAATATTTTACAAATCGCAAGTAAATAATCACTCATTTAGATAACCGTTTTTTGACGTGGTTTATTGGTGCCGATTTTATCGCAAATCAAATTATTTTTCAATTGTTATTTTGGTAATAATTGCTACACATTTCTGCAAGGTTTTAAAAGTCCAGACATTTTTTACACGCTATCGCAACACTTTAATTTCGAATCCTGCATTTAAATACATTACTTTTTGACGAGCTTTATTTACACCAATTTCATCAGAAATATAAAGGAATTTTGATGGTTGTTTTGGTAGTTATTACTAGGCTTTCCCCCGTAATTTAAGCATTTCTGGTATTTTTAATACTATAGTTTGACAGCACGGGAAATTTTTATCGCACATTAAAATAGTTTTTACGTTTTTTATTTGTGCCCATTTTAACCTAAATATAAGGGGTTTTTTGAACTTGTTTTATTTTCTTTCTCGTTATTGCTTTTTTTTTCTTGTGATTTTTAATATCCTGGTATTTTAAGACAATATTACAACTCGTGAAATTCTATTGCTTTAAATTTTTTTGTAACTTGAAAATAAATTACTTTTCATAGTAAAATCAACACCTTCTCGAAGATGATAAAATATAAAAAAAACAAGATATTAAACGTGGTCCTTTTGAAAAAAAAAATTCAAAACGTGTGCGTATTAATTTAGTCCCCCCATAAACACTTGCAAATTTAACAACATACACCTAACTTATTCTTTTTGTTGTAACTTGATTTAAAAATCTTTTATCGCGATTCGTATTTACTCGTTTTAAAAATCATACGTTTTGATTATTCTTGCAGTTTAAAAGTCACACATCGTAATTCGCATTTATGCGCTTAAAATTGCACATCGCCTTTCGGGTTAGCATTAACGAGTTTTAAAATTCATCCATCGCGATTCATACTCACAAGATTTAAAATCGCGATTCGCATTCACGAGATTTAAGCTCACATATCGCGATTTGTGTTCTGCCGTTTAAAAAAATCATACGTTTTACTCTTCTCGCAATTCAAAAATCTTACACACCGATTAAAAAAACCATATTGAGATTCACATTCAGGCGTTTTAAAAGTAATACGTTGTGAGTTTTCTTGCAATTTAAAAAACGCATCGCTATTGGTATTCGCGCGATTTAGAAAAGAAAGAACACCCTCTAAGACTGATTCCATAACTGATTAAGTTATTTGCCCTAAGTTTAATACTACCCACAGCAGTTTCTGTCGAAAGACTGTTCTCCAGAATGAATTTGGCATGTTCAAAATGACCGAGCAGTCTTTAAATAAAATTAGAAAAAATTATCACAATATTTAAAAATTTTGCAAATTGGAGGATTACCATTAAGAAATTTCTTAAGCCATTTTTCTACCGACTTGGGCCATTTTATATCATTTATAATCATATGGTGGGAAATGATTTGTATATCATCAAATTTTAACTGCAAAATATGTAATCAAGATAAGTTTCGTAAAGTAATGTAAATTTTAATTAATCGTTAGGCGTATATGCGTAATAATCGTAAATAGTAAGTGTCAAGTTAAAAAAGTATTTGTCATAAGGAACTGTAAACAACTATCTTAATAGTTTTTTTTTTATTTTTAAGGCAAAAAAATTGATCCTTCAAAATTATTGTTTTCTTTCTTTTTCTTCCCTCTCTCAGCCCCTGCCTCTTATCATTAATTTAAACGAAATGTTTAAAGTTAGAGTAAATTCCCTACTAAATGCTGAAGGGGTTTTGTTTTAATTTTAATCATTTTTAACCCTATAAACTTTCTTTAAATCAAAGTATTTAAATTGCATTTATTTTAATTAACCAAAATATTTATTTAATTTTTAAATTCAATTCTATGAACCAATTTTTTAATGTTAAAATTTATGTTTAAGTGGACTTCTGTGATATGATTAAAAAAAACATGAATTTTTCCACAATTTTTAATTATTCCAATTTATCTAAACTTCTTTTTTTTTTTTTTTTGATAAATTGATTCTGATTTCTTGATTCTGTTTTTTTCCCTAAGTAATCAGTTTTGCAGTTTCTAATTACTAATTAAATATTTTTAAACATTTAAAAGTACTTACTTTTATGCAAACATATTACAAGGTTAACTGACAAAAATAATTTAGTGCCTAGAACAATGTTGTTTATAAAACAATTAATACCAACAATTACAGTCAACATGTCTGTCTAAATACTTTGGCATGCGGCCCTTCATTGGTCAATCTGCTGTGCTTGTGGCCATTCACTTAAAAAGGTTGTGCACCCCAACTCTACACCGATTAAATAACATATTTGAACTGTTAAATTTTAGTCCTAGCATGTAAAAATCTAATCATTAGATCAAAAGTTATTTAGGGTAATTCTTTTTTTTTTTTTACGTCTTTTCTGGTGTAGTAGTTTTTGTTGTAGCTTTTAAAAACTCAAAAAAGTATATTAAGATTTTTGTTAACCTCTGACTAAAGTACATTTTTGGTTTTTCCAGACCTTGTGTTAGAAAATCTCATTAATGCTGGTCAACTACAGGTGGAGAACAGGGACAGAATAAAAGAAGCCCTGTTGAGACGTCACAGGCATCAGCATGAGAGAAAGCATGACAAAGTGGACAAAGGATCCAGGCTACCTCTGATACGTTCCTTAGCAGACATTGGCCGGAATTCGAGTAAAAGCATGTTCGGTTCCAGCAGTAAGTCTTTTTTTATAAGTTTTCAGAAAATAATATATTTGCGTTAATGGTTCTTTGGAGCCATTATAAATTTTTCAAGGCTTTATCAAGATAGTAAACTTGCAAAATTTATTAAACTGCATAATTTATTACGTTATTTTTTAATAAGTATTTGATTTTTAAATGAAATAAACCCTCAAATATCAAATGTACCATTAAAAAAGGGGGGAGTAATAAGTAGCCATTCTTTTGTTAAAGTATAACATGTGAGGAAAATGTGTGAGTGTTCTTAAAAAATTCAGTGTATATAATTGAAAAAGTGTTTTTTACTATTCAGCTCTTTACTTTGAAATCCACATAAAATTATAGACTCTTGAAGTCCTGTAACAATAAATCTTAACTGGTGATGAAAATCGTAGATAATTATTCTAAATTTTGAAATTCTACTTATCTATTTTCTTTTTACAGCTACTTGATTGGGTTAAAGAATGCTTTTTTCATGATTGACTTATTAAAAATCAAACATAAAAGGTTTTAATCTACAAATAAATGGGCAGTAGCACAAGGGAAAGCCAGTTTTTGTTTAACCAGCTTAGATGTGTACCCAAATTAACACTTAATGGGTTAATTATTATTTTATTGCTCACTAATGAAAGTCCCTTATATCCAATGTAAGTCCCTATTTTTCTGTTATGGTAATTAAACCAGTTTTTCATTATAATTACCATTTCTTTTGTTGTTATTTTGAACCTTAACTTCTGGAAATGTAACTGCTTAAAATTTAATTGGATGTAAAAATTTAAGTTATTGTTTCAGTTGGAAAAAAATAACACTTTGCTGCATACATCCACATAGTTTCAAAATTTAAAATTATTTACTTGAAAGGGATATGAACAGTTACTATGATAGGGATATACGTTCCACTTGCAACTTATTACTTGTTTTAAATTCCACTAAGATTCTAAGATAATTTGCCACCTGATAATCAAGAGGCTAGCTGTACCAGTTATGTCTCTGCTGGTTTTAAAAATTTAGTTTGGGAAAATTTTTGTGCAACTATTGCTTAACAACAGTAGGTGTGCTACAAGTTGCCAAGGCTTATAGGTAGGTATGAACTTGTTTTCAATTGTAATTCTTTTCAATTTCAGAAGAAATAAGAAGCCTGTATAGAGTGCATCCACACACAAATAGAAAATGTACTTCCATTGCCAATCTTGTGCAACTATCAGCAGGTAGAATTTATAATTAGCCTAAACAACACAAAGCTTCATTAACTAAAAATGTAAGCTAATAATCCTCACAACTTTCAATCCAAAGATTATCTTTGAAGAAGATATTTTAAAAAATAGCATTCTGTCTGCAAATTGAGTTGACTTAGAGGAAGCTTGCAAAATGATCTTGATTATTTAATATAAAGTTAATAATTTTGCTTTTTTTTTAAATAATAATAATTTTACAGTTGCAACCAAATATATTTGTAGAGGCTGTACTCATTATGCACTGTATTTATCATTGTATGAAATGAGCTTTTACTAATAAACAAAAAGTGATTAAAAAATGTGATCTGCAGCTCTTGTGGTGTCTCCTTGGATGCTGGTTGCCAAAGTAAATCAATTAAATGAGTGTTTGTATTGTGTTACCTCCTATTTGAATGTGCCTTGCATGTCCACTTGCTTAGCATAACTTATTCTATTTATCCTGTGTTAAAATGCTCCATATTATTATTTATTTTTTTAATAAATTAATGCTTTTTAGAAACATTTTTTAAAGGATTCCTTTTATAATAGCTTGATTGGCTTTGCTTTTACGTTTTTCTAAATATGGAACAAGCTTTTTAATAAATCCCATTTTGTTAAAAATAATAAGAGGTAAAATATTTTTTATTTCAATATTACTCATAATTTAAAATATTTATGGCTTTTTGCATATTCAAATCAATAGTTTTGTGTGTTTATTTAAATAAAACTTAAATGTATTTTTTCTCTAAAAAAATTTTTTTTTTCATGGAAATTTCAATTATGTAAGATGATATACATATAGATAACTGCAACTTATAGATTTAATTTCCAAATGATCAGTTGTGCCAATTTTTTTGAAAGAGAAATTAGAGAATCCATTTGGAAAGTATTTGTAAGTCTGTTGCTTTTAAGGGTTAGTGTTTGGATGAATTTGAAAATATTGGTAAAAATTCATCAATTGGAGTAATGCTTTTAACACTATAACTTGATGAAACATCAAAATGAAACATTTCGATTATTAAAATTGTAAAATAAATGAATTGAAAATCAGATGAATGAAACATTTGAAATTATTAATTTTCAAAAATAATTGTTGTTATTGTTACTCATCCCCCTGGTGTAGGAAAGCCAAAAGACCCTGTCACCCAAGAACATCGAAAATCTTCTCTCCTGCACATCCAGGAGGCTCCTAAACAATTAAGCTGAGCAGGAAGGAAAAAAAAATTTCCCCGTGCATTTCAAGTGACCACTTCTGAATCTTGCTGATTATAGAGTCCTGGGGTCGCTGCATGACAGAGACAGGCCTTGCAGTTATGAACTGGTGGGAAGCGCCAAAAAATCAAAAGTATGCCACTGGTCCATGGCTGGGGATGCATTTGATTGAGGAACTGCAGGGGCTGAAGACTGACTAAATCTCATGCCTTGGGTGACCTTGCCAGGAGAATACACTCCCTTCGTCCGTTCTGTCCAGGAACACCCCCTCCTGGAAAACTAGAGGGAATCAAATTATTTATTTGATATGATGAATTGCCTGGAATGATTGTGCATGTTAAAGCTACCCAAAATCTTTTCAGATGTGTATAAAATCATCTTAAAGATCTCAGAATGAGCTGACATTAGTAAAAAGAACCTGCTTTATGAATAGACATAACAGTAAAATAGCTCATTTTTATCTGAATAATCAATCGAAATAGATGACTTTTCAGAAAATTTTATACTGGAAGGGGACATTTCACCTACATAAGTAATAGAAAAAATTTGTTCAGATAAACCTTGAGTTGTCAACCATCAATGCTGAAAAGTGGTTTTAAAAACAAATGGCAAGATTGCAATAATTCCTGCAAAATGTTTCAGAGGTGATCACTTTTCTCGAAACTTTCAAAATACAAATGGGTTTCTTCTGTGATCTTCTCAATGCTGTCATTCTTTCTTTTGATCTCAACTTAGAAGTCACTCTTCAGTCAAATATCACCAATTATGTGATGAGCTCATAATAGGGAAAAACCTCATATGTTTTACCCAATATTAGACCTGTGAAAATATTTTGAATTAGCACTTGGTTAACTCTGGCTATCCGAAATTTAATTAGGAATACTCTTTTGAGATTGGGTCCTTTCGGGTTTTTTGATTTTGTGAATTTGTATGGACTAATTTTTATAAAGTTTCTTGAGCCAGGATGATAAAGGTTTCTTTCTCAGTAAGTTCATATGATGATCTTCATCAGAGCATAGTTGGTTTGTTGCGAGTGTCCACATATAAGATATGTTTTTGAAAAGTGAAAGTTTCTTAAACTTGTAATTTAATGGCAATGAGCAAGTATTTTTAGTAAGTTTGTAAGTGATTATTGGTTATTTTAAGGAATTCAATATGAAATTACATTAATACGCTTTATTATTTGAAATGATAAAAATGTTTGTATAAATGGTGCCATTATTTTATTAACTTAAAAGCTCCATCTTTTGCTATTTATTAAGTCAAATGCAATTTAATGTAAAAATTATTTTTATAATTACATTTCATAAACTAACTGAATAGCTATATTTTAATTATAGATTATAAGCATATTTTTAAACTAGCAAAGTAAAAAGTAAATAAATAACTGAAGTAAAATCAATTGAATGCAGTGTTCTTATGAAAAGTACTCTTCTAAATTTTCATTGGTCAAAAACTATTAAATCGATTTCAATGATGTTTAATATTACTGTACAAATGTCACATTATGATGAACTTCGTTTTTTGTAATTTAAAAAATACTAGTAATGATTGAAATCTTTTAGGTAAATGTGTTTTGCCAGTAAACTAAATAATGCCAAAGTATTTTGTATTAGCTACTCATTTTATTAACGCTTAGTATTTGAAGTTTCCTCATTCTTATATTCTCTGCTTTTATTATTGATAAAAAAGTTTTTATAAAGTAATATAGTATTCAACTTTTACATTCATTTTAAATATGTGTTGCTTTATAATATGCACATTATTCCCTTGCAAGTCAAATATATATTTTGAATTATTCATCAGTAAGCATGTGTAAAAAAAAATTTCCATGCTCTGTAGTTATTAGCTAATCCTGGAGTAGTTTAGTAGTTAATGCTGCTTGTGCATGATTACCTTATTCTTAGTATTCCCCTTGCTACACATATAGCATTGTTCAACAATGAAATTTTTCTAGATTTTCTGCGCTCAACAGTGAAATGGGTTGCAATATTCTCAGAGTTCAATTATCCACGTTTCTGTCTCGGTTAGGTTAGGTGTTAACCTCATTCCTGGAAGATAACTTTAACTTTTTCATATTTATTAAGTAAGCTTCATTACGTTTGGGGAAAACAATGAAGCTTTGTTGAACAGTGTCTGTTTGTAGCTGTAGAAATTGTTTTTGATCCATTAAAATCCCTTTAGTAAGAGGGAGTGGGCAGTTGAGCATCCCAGGAAAGGCCACTCAGATATAAATTCTTTCTGAGTGTGAAAGGTTTGATCTCATTGCAGCCCAATTAGATAAGGATGCGTCAGGCTCGTCTCCGCCGTCAACTCCCGTCAATCCTGCAGTGGCTGGTGAAACAAAACCAAACTTTGCCAAATACCTTGGCCTTCCTGGTAACTTCTTCATGTTTTATTACTGAGCATGCATTAGTAGTAATCTCTTAGAGAAGAGCATCTCATTTTTTAGTTTTAATACTATGTGAAACACTTTATTCTACAACTTTATGTGAACTTTTATATAAAAATAAATAAATAGAAGTACAATATATGCAATTTTTGAGGTAAATTTTTTTTTTACTAACTTCGAAAACAGTTTAGCGGTAAAGGATACTCAAATGTCATTGTATTTCAGTGAATTAAGACATCAGTGCTTAAAAAGTTCAAAAACCATGTAGATTTAACTAGACAGCAGATTATATAGTGATGAAAAAATACCCTCCACTAGAAATGTAACGAATATTCAGCTACTATTCGAAATTCGGTCCTTTTGCCGAATGTTTGATTGGCCAAATACACAGCCAGATATTCGACCAAATGTTCGGTAAAGTGTTTTTTGACAGTTTTTTTGGGGGAAATTCTTATAGATTTAATAATAAACTAAATTAAGAATAAACTAAGATTAAGAATAAACTAAAGTCGTATTTTTTACCATTCGTTATTAGAAATTGTTTTTGCACATATTTGTTAAATCCTAATTAACCTATTTAATTTATGTTCTGAAAGACAAATGGAAAAGTGAAATTTGAAGAATTGAAACTAGGTTTCTTTACACTGAACCATAAGTTTTGTAATGCTGATTATCTTTTTAATTGTATTTAGGCAATTCAATTTCTTAGATTTTTTTTCAACACTTTGTTTTAAAAATTGAGAATGTTTTTTTGTTTGTTACATTTTTGCTAGTTTTTCTGTATTAACAATAACACAGCATTTTAACGGAGCGTTTCCAATAGACTTAATTATTTTATTGTCTCTTTTTTTTCTTGTACTGTAAGACAGATAACTCGTAACATAGAAAAATGATTCTGAATGTTAAGATTATATTTCAGTTATGAGAACAATTTTTTTTTCTTCTCTTTTACTTTTTTTATCATCATGTTTATTACGACAGCATCTTTTAAGGAGCATTTCTAATGAACATTATTCTTTTATGGTCACTTTTTTCTAAAAATACGACACTGAGAAAAGGTTAAGTTTAATTTTTAGCGTTAAATCTTTCATTTAAAAATTAAGAACTATTTTTGTTTTGGCTTCTATTTAGCTCTTTATTTTTAAAAAAATTTCGATTTTATGGACATTTTTATCATGAGGGGGAAATTAGGAAAGTTTCTATTAGACTTTCATCATCACTTTTTCTTGAAAATACAGTGTTTGAAACAATGTTTAGCTTTAAAATTTTCTTACAAAAATAAAGATCTATTTTTATCTATGGGCGTTTTTATTACAGAGCTGCGTTTTTAGAAGTGGTTTAGATAACGTTCTTTCTCTTCCAACGTTTCATGGATGTATTTTTTTCCCGGAAAATATTATTTTTAGCATTAAAATTTTGTTTTAAGAACTAGGAGGATATTTTTTTTTATTTCTATTTTTGTTCAACTTTGCAACTTTAGTTTTAATAAAAGCTGTTAATCAGTTTTTTTTTATTTTAAACATTTCAATATTTCTTATTATTTTACTATTTTATTTTCATTATCTTAAACATTTTTATTAAAGTTTTTTACCTCATACAATTTTAATTATTTTTTAATAATGACTAAACTTATTTATTTGTAAAAAATGATATTAATTATTGATTTTTTTTAAAAAAAAGTTTATTATCGGTCGATATTTTTGGCCGAATATTCGGTATTCAGCTATTGAGCCAAATCACTATTCGTTACATCCATATCCTCAAAACACGCATATTTTTAGTGACTGGGAAGTTTATAGTGTGAACGAAATGAAAACTAGAGTGAACTCAAAGGAATGAGTTACCCAATCCACTCATGCAATTTTCATGAAATATATATCAAAATTTTATGGCAATATGATTTATTTTAGTGTAATTTTGCAACTAATAGTGATATAAAAATCTTAATACTGCTTTTGTGCATGCACTCAAAATTGATTGTCCCAGAGCCATACTATAGTGGTTAAAGAGTTTCTGATGTGTTACTGCTGATCAGTGAACAGTAAGAATGATCCTATAACACTTATCTAGATTAAGCCGATCTGGTGTATATTATCACAGCATTTTAGAGTGGTGAATGCTTGAACAGTAAACCATCTTGACTTTGGTAACTAAAAACTAGACGTCGGTACTAATATGACAGTTATAACCAACAAGCACTCATTCTGGAAGTGTACCATGACTTATTAATGAGGGAAAGGTTAATAACAATAGTCATTTACTTGCCGACATAACCATTGCTTTGCAAAAAATATACTTCTGCCTGGATCTGGATTTTACTTTGACATGTAACTCTGGCATCAGTCAAATATTAGCAAACTATCATCTCCTCCGGATGATCCACTGATTGTCTGTTGTGTAATAACACCTTGCAGTATTTATTGTAGTATAAAAATACATAAGATTGAAGAATGTAATTGAAAGCCATCTTGCATAAAACCAAGAGAAGTATTTAATGACTAACATCGGTAGATTGGAGTATTTGTCCTCATTACAAGCCACAGTTTGGAATCTTAATAAGTGTTACATTGCAATATTGCTTGCTTTTAGACTATCCTGCAATGTTATGCATTAACAAAATGTACTATTTTTCAAAATTAAATATAAACGTTTAATATAGTATTTAAAAAATGAGCCTAATCTGGTTCAGTAATATTTTGGACAGTTACAGATAAAAAAATTCATTAGTAAAAATATACATTCTAAAATATATTTACGATAGCATTTTGCTAGAAAATAATTTTAAATTGAAAATTATAAGTTTATCATGTTTCAGTTATTTTTAATTTCTTTATGGGTGAAAGTTTAAATATTTATACCAATGTTGTCCAGTTACAAGAATAATTATTTTATTGATTGTTAGAGTGTTTAACATTTCTGATGGATATAATTAATGGGTATATATTTTAATTGCTTTCAAATCTGATAAAATATCATGAATTGAATTTTATGTTAAATTTCAGAGACTACTTATTAATTATACTACATAGGTGTGCAATTTTAGATAGATGCATAAGTTTTGAGAATTACATTTTGGAAAATGACTGTTAAAATTTTTATAAGGTTAATATTTTTTATCACATAAATAGTCCTGTTGTGAAATCTGTGCTTTCAGGAAAAAATTAACTAAAAATGTCATGGATTTAACTTTTTTCCACAAAAACTAACAATATAAACATACTCAGTTTCATTATTTAATAGGTTAAATTTCAATTTTTAAAAGAAAACTCCTAATTAACAAAGCTTATTATAGATTGTTTAACTCTTCCCTCGTTTTTTGAACTAAACAAAATTTTTATCTGGGTTATGGGCCTTAAAATAATGATTAGTTTTTTCCCAATGTTTGTTTTTTCATTGTCTTCTATGTACAGTGCACATAAAAGAAAAGAAAACAGCTTATACAACTTTTGATATGATTGGATTTTCGCGTATTAAATAAACAAAAAAATTAAGAAAAACTATTTTGAGCAAAATGGTATAAAAAATAAACAATAAAATAAACAAAAATAAACAAAATAAACAAAAAAATTAAGAAAAACTATTTTGAGCAAAATGGTATAAAAAATAAATAAGAAAAAAACAGCATAAAAAAACTAGTGGTATCCGTTCATCGAATTCTATCACAGATAAAATTCTGGAAGGGAAGTAATATGGCGTAACTACCACTATAAATGTTAACCCTTTGACGGTTATGAACGAGTTCAGCTCGCAATCGAATCTTGCTTCATAATGCGCTCAAACGAATTCCGCTCGGGAGCAAGATTTCGACCGTAATGGTTAGAGACGAGCACTACTCGTGTAGTGAAATTTTTCCCCAACGCACGTGACGAGTTGAGCTCATTCGCCATTATTATTCTGCATTGACTATGTTTAAAACGAATCCTACTCGCGAAGCGTAGTTAGTTTTACTGCCTCAGTACGTGTTCCATGAATTTCTTTTCATAATGAAGGAGGGATTTATTTTTTATCTTGTTCTTTTTAAGCATATTTTGGCGCGTTTTTTAGGGTGTTTGTAAAGTAAAATGGCTGAAAAGCAAAAGTTAGATAATTATGATGATGATTTTGATTGTGATATAGAAAGCTTATCAAGTTTTGAGTCTGATGAAGACTGTGTTCAGAGTATTTAGGTAATTACTGTATTTAAATGCTTCATGAAGTTTTACATTAGTTGTATTTATTTAGTCCTTTCAATTTAATATTTGTCTTATATTTATAATTAACTATTATTTATATAATTGATTATAATCATTTATAATTTACTATTAATAATTATCATTTATTATTTTAAAGTAAGTAAAAACTGTTATTTATGTACTACAACTGCTATAAGAAATTTTTAAAAGGCGTGAGGCGAGCTATCTATGGCATCGTCAGATATGCCAACTTGCTCCGCTTTTTAAAATAGTATTTCCTAGTGATAACGAAATTCAAGTTACTTTCAGTTTAGTATTTTTCCTTTTTGAGTAATTTTTTCACCACTAAATATCAAAAATTATAAGTATCATATAAAATGCAACGTTAAAGCAACAATCTACTGGTTACTCTATTAAAAAGTAGACGTAACTGTCCTTCTCCAACGAATTTTACTACATAATTTGCTACCACTTTATTATAACAATTCCAGAAAGCGGAACTGTTGGCATTGCCAGAGAAGGGTGAAATTTTCAGAAGAACGGCGGGGGGAAACAGCTGCCAATTTCGACTACTTTTTGCTCATAATACTGTGTGAATTAATGAAACGAAAACTGCTCATTTCTCTAACCGTCAAAGGGTTAAATACCAATTCACTAGAAGACACGTTAACTTGATTCCATCATGATGTACCTTTTGATAAATGAAGGTTGACATAGTCAATCCCCTCACATACCTCTTTTTTTCTGACCCTCGAAAGACAGAGTAGCCGCAATCTAGGAATTGTGGTCCTAATAGTTTGTTCAGGAGAGCGGTCAAAATTTGGCCTACTTGATGCTAATTTTACTTTTCACCTGATCAAACTATTGGGACCATATTTCACGAATTGCAGCTATCCTCTATATTTTAAGGGTCAGAAATTCAGATCCATTGTAAAAAAGGTAAGTTTATTCAGAGAAAGTATGTTTTTTCTGTCTATTTCGTAGCTTAAAATGCCGTCTGCCCTAATTAATTTGCATATTTCAGGTCACCGAAAATCCGATCATTAGATCAAAAGGGTGTTTAGTTTATTTACTTGAGCACTGTACTTTAATTAGTTTCATTTCAAATAGTATTAACATCTTTAAAAAGTTAAGTATGAAATTTATGTTAATTTTTATTCAATATATATCTTTTTTTAATTGTGATGAATGAGTGTTTTTTAAAAGTGTATGTAAACATCGAAAAGCTAATAATCTATCTGCCTTTTTTCTTTTGTATTTTACATCAAAAATTGTTTCCTGGTGACCTTTGAAAAAAAACTCAGAGAATTATAAATCCATTTTATCTGAAACCCTCTTTCATAAATTTGTTTAATTTCCATAGGCAGTGCACCAAACACAACGCAAGACACAATAGTGAAGAGTCCGAGCTGCTCCTCATTGAACCTCGGTGGGAATTACTCAAATTCCAGTCAAAGTAATTCTCATAACATTAGTGATATATCTGGGAATTCCACAAGCTCTGCAGACCTACAACACAGGGTATTGTATTAAATATCTATTAATAATCTATCCAGGGTCGGATTTAAGCTTGGTGGGGCCCTAAGCTACTGAAAATGATGGGGCCCTTTTGAGTTCAATTGCATTTCTATACACCTAAATTAAACTGTCACTATTTTTTATTGTTGAGTTTTAACATTATATTATTAAAAAATTCGATAATGTTACTTTATTGTTCAATATATTAATTGTGATGAGACTATTACGTAGAACCTTTCTTTTATTGCACATATTTTTTGAACGAGGGGAAAAAGTTACAAAAGAAACATATTTTAAGCACAGAGTAAAAATTTGGAGAGCTGGGCCACTACATATTTAACAAGAGTTTTTTTTTTTTTTTTAATTCATTTTGATTATATTTTATTTGCAATTTTTAATGATTTTTTCGCGAATTTTTTTCTCAATTTTATTTTCTTTATGTTACAAAATCTATAAGACTTAGAAACATGAAATTTTGAATTTGCGTAGAAAATATGCAGAGAGTTAGAAAGAAAACAAGAAAATACTATTTGATTATTAGTTTTATTTTTTTTATAACCGCCTTTGAACAACCGACTCAATTTTGTGTTTACGCCCTATCAACCAGGCTATCCCAACCAGATTTATTAGTTTATTTTATAACAGTCATTGCACAGCCGACCCAATTTCGAGTTTACGACTACTAATATTCAACACCGTAGCCTTGTCATTCCCAATCCAGAAGGCAAGGGAACTGCTAGATTAGTACCCAGAGGTATTTATTTGTTATAAGAACTTGGAGGGCATTGTGACCGTGACAGATTTAACATGCACCAGTCACCATTTTATGCATGGGTATTCTTCTGCCGGCTGGATTCAAACTCCCATTCTCAAGAACACGAGTCCAACGCCCTATCAACCAGGCTATCCCGGCCAAATTTATTGGTTTATTTTATAACAGTCATTGCACAGCCGACTCAATTTTGAGTTTACGACTACTAATATTCAACTCCGTAGCCTTGTCATTTTGAACCCAATCCAACTGTCCCTGGAGCACGTGAGGGCCGTTATATTCATACTGTTTGTAAAAATAAAAAGAACATTTCGTAAGCTGATATTATTTAATTGATGTTTATATTGAAAATATTTCTTCATTATTTTTGCTTTCTTTTTAATTATTTTAAGTACATTTGTTAAATTTTAGTGCAAGAAAAAAAATTGTCATTATTTATGTAAATTTTTGGCTTATATTTTTAAGGATTTATTAAGGGGTCTATTAAATATCAGAGAGAATAAATGCCATACGTGTTTAAAGTATCAGCTCTGCTCTTGATGGTGTATACTGGCTAGGATGTGAAAGAGCAACTGTCACGGTCATCCCACCAAAACGAGCATTCAACATATCAATGGAACACGCTAAAGCTTTATATCAATTATCAATTAATTTTAGATAATTACAATTATAGAATAATTATCTTATTATAGAATGAAATGTTTTAAAAGACAAATATCTGTTAATGTTTAACATTTAATCAACGAAAAAACAGAACCAATATTGAAATCTAACGAATTTATTATTTTTAATTACTGATAAAGTTTGTGAAAAAAAAAAAAATTAAAGCCTGATAGATTTCAGAATTTTAGAAACACCTTCTAGTTATACTATTCAATCAAATAGGTTTCGATGTCTTTCATCCCGGTCTCATTAGTGATTCAGCATATTTCGATATCATTTTTGTTTCGTTCTTACTTAATATTAATTTGTTTGCGACAGTTAATTTGTATACCTCTTTTACTACATTTTCGAGGAGTTTAAAAATATAATATTGAGGATTTTAACTGAAATGAAATTTGCTTTTTTTGTATGCCTCTTTTATTACGTCATCATTACACCCACACGCAACTGTCTACTCTAAATAATGCTATATAGAATGAGATAGCAAAACAAACGTGTGTAGTTATTTAAATTCTTATTCAAAAGTATTAGTTAATTTTTTTTAACTGACAATTTCTGTCCTTTTTTAGATATTTTAAAGTGCTGTTCAAAACTGCTGCATATCACATGAAAGCATTAAATATATCATTTGTACAATTTTAAAGTAAAATAAAAGGGAATTCTTATCCTTAGAAACAGATATTAAATAGTCTGATGATCGAATGATGGGGCAAAAAAAAACTTTTTTACCTTTAAAACTAAAAATTTTTTATTTATAAATAATTTATTAATACTTAAATTGCTTGAAAGATGATATGTACCCTACTAGTGACAACGAAGTTTTTTATTTTATTCAGTCATTTCTTTATATTTATTATGTCCGACAATGTAAAAATGAAAAAAAATGCATTTTCGGCTTCTGAGGGCCCCAGCTCCAAATAAAACTTTAAAAAAAGAGTGGGGAAAGTATGATCTGGGGGCCCTCGTCATCTCGGGGCCCCAAGCTACAGCTTATTTAGCTTATACGTAAATCCGGCCTTGAATCTATCTATTATTGAACTTGTATTAAATATCTATTATTAACATAGAACATCAGATAATCATTTTTGAAAAATATTGATATGTATCTTCTTTACTTTTAAAATAGTTATAAAATGTGAGAATTCCTATGTACTTGGATAAAAACCTATAATGTATTTTGCTATTCTACTCAATATGTGTTTATAATTACTTGAAACATCCCACTCCCTGAATTTGCAGAATTTTGCTTTTCTTTTGCCCCATTCCTAAAAAAACTTTCATTTTATTTTTTAGGATTATTAAATAGCATTAAGAAAAAAGAAACTTCATTAATATTAAATTTACTATAATAAAATCTTATAAAAAAGATTGGACTGTTCTTATTATATTTTTAAATTATTTAGTTTCATTTGAAATTGAGGAAGCACTTTAATTAAAGATATTTTAAAGATAAAATTAAAGATAAAGATTTATTAAAAAAATATTAATTTATGTTGAATTTAATTATTTCTTTAAATAGCAATTTTTATTGTAGTTTATTTTGTAATTAATGTTGTTTAACTTTGGAAAATATGCTTCTGAATACTACACAAACTTAGCGTGCCACCCTGAAACTGCTGTAGCCTGTTTAATTTATTGTGATTAACAATTTTGTACAAGATATGTTAAAATTAATTTTTTTGTTAGGCAGTCCTGATGAAGGTATTTGAATGCCTGACTAAACTATTCATCGTTATGTGAAGTGACCCTAAAATAAAATAGTATAGTCATTGTTGGGCAGAGAACAAATTTAATAGATCTTGTGTTTCCTCCTACTGAATAAAATGATTTTGATAAGGAACTACCAGGAAAATACTTTATACTAAATTTGTATTCTTCTTTTAAGGTAGAAAAAAAAATATTTAAGTATTATCAGCATTTTTATAGTTTAATGAATTGTTGTCGAAGGGAAATTGTTTTAATATTGAAGAGAATATTATTTTTCCTTTTCAAAACCTTTTAATTGAAATTACAATTATAATTTGTTTGCTTCAAAAATTTTTTAATATGGGATACTTTTTGTTGAATGTGTAAATATTATTTTCAGCTTAATCAGGCTTTCATGAAGAAAATCCCTCCCGGAGCTGAGGCCTCCAACATTCTGATAGGAGAAGTAGACTTCCTTGACCGTGCCATTATCGCTTTTGTCCGTCTCAATCAGGCCTGCAACTTGGGGGATCTGACCGAAGTACCTGTTCCTACTCGATTTTTATTCATACTTTTGGGTCCCTCTGGGAATTTAGGCCGCTACCATGAAATTGGTAGAGCAATGGCTACTCTCATGTCAGATGAGGTAAAAAAATCTTTTATTGAAAGTCACATATTTAATTGTATTTTAGTATGCTCATCTTAATGTTTATTTTTTAAGGTATTCCACGATGTTGCGTACAAAGCTAAGAGCCGGCAAGACTTGCTTGCTGGTGTCGATGAGTTCTTGGATGCAGTTACTGTGCTTCCTCCTGGCGCCTGGGACCCTAGTATACGAATCGAACCACCTCAGTCATTGCCATCTCAGGTGATGTATTCACTTAAAATATATTCTATTTTCAATTGATGCGCATTTATTTCATAAGAAACCTATTACACATCTATTCTTAGCTTTTTCAAAGAATCAAACAAATGTGTATCATTTGTAATAATCTAAGGTTTCCATGTTAAGCTGAATTTCAAGATTTTATATTAAGGTAAAAAGCAGCCTCGAAAAATTTGTTTTGTGCTATGATCATTTTCTCTCTTAGAATTCACCCTGGAATATTTTATTTCTTTCATCTCTTTTCCTTTCTTCTGTGAATTTATCTGAATTAAAATGGATGTTTTTCTTTCATTGACAGCATTGTGCACAGTTACTGAACTTGGTACTATAATACCTGTGTTAACTTATCAGTTCATAAATTTTTTTGTTTGATTTCTGGTCATGTTTGGGTTTTTTTCTTTTATTTATTTCTTAGAAGAAAAAAAAGATTTTTTTTAAAGGAAAAAAATCTTTGCCCAGGAAGAAAATATGTCTTTTAGTAACACAAAAGCTTAACTCTGTTAAAATCAAAACATTTTTTTTTAAATTCCTAATTTTTTTTTTCTTTTTGCAATTTATTGTTTATTATGCTGAACCCAATGAGCATTGCATATAATTTAAAAGATTAATGTTTTAGTTGTTGTATTAAATATAAAAAGATTGTGTTATTTCTGTGATTGTTTCAATCTTGTATATGTTATTATCATTAACTGTTGAATTTTAAGTATATTAAAATTACATTTTCACTTATTTATTATTTTTTTATTTATTTGATTTGTTTTTAGAAGAGTAGTAAAATAAAAAGAACAATGATCAAACTGAGATGATTGTTAGTTTTGCTAATTATCATTTGTCTAGAACTTCTTATTTCTTCTACAGTCTTCAATACTTTTGTTTTTTATCAGCTAAAATGATGACCTTTTAAAATAAACATTTTAGGAAGCTAGAAAAAAGACTGAAGTTCAAGAAATCAAAATTGATGAAGAAGAAGAAGAGGAAAAAGAGCGAGAAGAAAGTGGCTTAACACGCTCAGGACGGTAAGTTTATCAGAAAGTCTTTTTCTTTTCTTTAATTAAAATTAAAATTAAGTTTTTAGTGTCACATGTTTTGTGGTTTTCAATTTTCTGTAATATATTCATATAATCTCTTAAAGTCAGAAACTTGAGTGTATTTTAATTATTTTAACATGTCTAGTTAGGTAAAAAATTAGAACCGCAATTTTGCAGAGATATGCTGTGGCATTTATGATTTAAAACATTAAGTTTTGGTATCTGTGGCATATCTAATGATGCAGCCTATCTGGTATTTTTTTTTTTTAATTATATGACTTGAGCTAAAAAAATCTATTTTGTTGAATTGATTCTCCAAACTTTCATTGTTACTGTTAATCTTTTGGAGCTATCTATTTTCATAATTTACGATCAGTAATAATTTAAGGAATGCGGGTGAAAAACAGTTTACAAGAATGTAACAATGGATGGTTGACCTTATAAAACTAAGCACAGATGGTGCTAGAGGTTCAAATTTGCCTTAAGATGCTACTTCTGATTGTTTTCTGTGCATAAGCTTGGAAAAGCGCACCATTCCATATTATTATACTTATAGTGTTGACAATATTACGCTTTCTTTCAATTTAACTTTCAGTAAAACAAATAACAAATGTATTTAGCAGACCTTCCAAGCACACGATTATCCAAAAAATAACAACCGGAGATAATTTACAAAGTTATAATAAAATGTGGCAAACCTTGCACTTTATTTATGTTGGTATATTAATTTGCTTAAATTTGTTTTACATTTTATGCATACGTTTTTGACTCGTGTGTTAGAATTTATAAATTTAAAAAATCGCAATAATAAAACTTCATAGAATATCAAGCCTGTTCACACATCGCCTTGTAAGCATAACATAAGTGGAGGGATACGCCGGAAGTTTTCTAAATTTCATCCGGTTAAAGAAGTTCGTTATTGTTTATGTTCAATCAACTAACCACAGTGCAACAACCACTCTCCCTTTCAACCAAAGAAGCCGTTGACGAATTCCCCGCTCGCAATCACCCTGCAAATAGTCTCGCAGGGATTTATGTAAGTACGATTCCCTCTTTCTGCTGGTGCAGATGTGAAGAAAACAAAGGGGGAATATGCAAGTCATTCTCTAAAGCGAATTTTCAAAATAATTACAATAAAAAAATGTGATGAGATCTTGTTTGTTCTATATGGGACAATTTTGAGCCTTGTAAGATTATTATCATCAATTTATTATATTTTGATAACTTATTTTTATTATATTTATGTTCTTAACCACTTAGTTGACATAAAATTCGAGTATTTTAAATTGGTATTTAAGTTTTTCAAATTGGTATTTATTAACGTAATGCGTTGGCGATTGTGTTGCATTCGAATTGTAAGCAGTACAGTTTTGTGTACATTTGAAAAGTTATGATGAAAATTATCAAAATACGTAATTTCTGTTTTTAAGCAAGATAGCGTATATTAATTTATCTTAGATTTAATACTTATTTTAATGATTTTTAAATATTTAATCATTTATTTTGTGTATGACTTGTTATTTAAAACAGATGCATTAAATTCGTGATCGATCATGCAGTAAAATTTGTTAGCAATTAGCATATTTTCTATGTAAATCCTATCACCTATATTAAGTAGTTCCTAAATATTTAATTTAAGCAATTCCTGTTAAGACTATTTTAATTTTATTTCAATAGAATGTTGAAGTCGCTCATAACTTACTTTATCAATGTTTTGTTTACATTCCTATATGAAAGCGACTGGAATAAATGAAGAGTGACATAACTCATGACGAGAGTGGTGTTACTAGTGACCTAGTTGTGATGCCTGATGGCAGGTCATTCAACCTTTGGCCTATCAGTGATCAACACCTGTCCAGTGCTTCGGAATGTTCTATGATTGATATTTAAGGAGTTTCTTCAAAGTAATCTTGGCTACTGGTTGCTACTTCGTCTTTACCTTACTTAAAATTTTTAACGTTCGCTTCGGTGGTTTACCGAGATCCATGGGTTAAAAAGATGCCGGAGGGCAATTACGTTTTTAATAGAAAACCTCCAGTAGGCCAACTTATGTTTTTTAATTCATTGTTTTTTTTTAAAGTTAATATTTTAAGTTATTTTATCTTTTGGAGGTTCAAATTTAATAGAATATGGAGATAACATTATAACAATATTTGTAACATTAAGGACAGCAAAACTACATTATGTATTAATCTTCTGTCCAATACTGGTAATAAGATTTTAAAAAATTCACCTAGTATCATAAAGGTTAAGAGATTGTACTAAGGTAGATCTTAGCACATTAAATTACGTTTATAATTATCTGATGATTAAAAATTAAACCCTAATAGCTAAAAGGTTTTTAATTTAGTATACCATCATTTTACTAAATATTTTTAGAATATCACACGTTTAACGAAAGGCACAATAACAAATGCTATTGAAAATTTAAGTAAAATTAATTTTAAAGTTCACTATTAGTAGAGGTCTACACTTCATAGCATAGTTTTACTTAATCATTACGTTATCAAAACTGGCCAAGGGATAAGTACAAGTTTTACTGGGTATCTGGAATTGTCCGCATAACAAATAAATCTTTGCATTGTTATTGTTATTTGTAGTGTTGTAGCGCTAATTTTTTCCTGAGAAATATCTATTGCAAAGTATTTGTTACATGAAAATTATACGATTTTTATATTTTTTTGCACAAATGTTATGATTTCTGGACAGGTGCCCGGAACTGGTCAGGTGATAAATCCAAATTTTACCTTGTATCGGAAACCAGTTGAGTAACAAATTAATATTTTGCATCATACCTGGATCAGGCAATATATTAAGATTTGGTTACATCATTGGTCAGCGTCAAAAAAGGCCATTATATTGTAGGCCGTAGAAATATCTAATGCCTAATACGAAAAAATGAAATAAAAAGGTATCCCACTTTCAAAAAATGTTTCTAATAATTTGTTTAATGTTGATTTTGAAACTTAATCTTTCGGAATAACAATATGTTTATTCTTAATTTTATTATTATTAATAATGAAATTCATATTACTGATAGAATTAATAATAATGATAAGAATAATAATTATAAAATTACTCATAATGATAAATAAATTCAATTCCTTTATTCCGGATTTTTAAATTTTTCCCTGACTATATTTTTATAAAGATTACACGTTTAAAATTTTTAGGAATAGTTTGAAATTTTTCCTCTATATTCGATTTCAAGGTTTGCTATGTGCGCAACATGGTAAACATTCAGCATGGTTTAGATGATTTAGGTTGGGCATCTCAAAATCACCCCACCCAGGTAACCAAAGTGTTCCCGTGGTAACTCTCTGGCACAGAAATGATTTTTTTTGTTGTTAGTTTTCATTATCATTTAGAATAAAATTTTACAGTTTCACTTAACACCTTAAAGAAGAATTGTGCACACATGTATGTATTATGTACATANCATTGATTACGCGTTTAAAATTTTTAGGGATAGTTTGAAATTTTTCCTCTACATTCGATTTCAAGGTTTGCTATGTGCACAACATGGTAAACATTCAGCATGGTTTAGTTGATTTAGGTTGGGCATCTCAAAATCACCCCACCCAGGTAACCAAAGTGTTCACATGGTAACTCTCTGGCACAGAAATGATTTTTTTTGTTGTTAGTTTTCATTATCATTTAGAATAAAATTTTACAGTTTCACTTAACACCTTAAAGAAGAATTGTGCACACATGTATGTATTATGTACATATATATATATATATACATGCTGTGAAACCTCGGTTAAGCTGACATCTTGGGACTGAAGAAATTGTCCGTTTACGGGAAGGGTACCCTTATAAAGAAGTTTAACACCGTAAATTTTATTAGAATATTTTCAAGGATATAGAAATAATTAAATAAACTACTATAACTATCTACAAGGATATTTATTTAATTTTTAAACAATGTTTTCTTCTATGCAAAAAGAATATATGATAATTTTTTATATAAATACATAATTTTAGATGTAATTACAGATAAATGAATGTAATTTTCCTATTAACACATTCAAGTTTGTCATATGATACCAAATAGGAGCTTCTCGCCCTCAGTTGGTTTCAATTATTAGGTCCTAACATCTCCTAACACCTACCCATCACTTGATGGGATATGTGGTTAATACCTCCTTGAAAGTAAACCTCCCACGATGCACAGAAAAAAAAGCAATGCATACCTGTAAGGCATGAGGACCTATGGAGTTGATTAAAGACAGTTGATATCTATCAAGTGTCTGAATAAATGTTTCATTTATATAAACAACTCAAAGATTATATTTCTGTTCACTTTGTTTAACCCCAGCTTTGTTAAATACAGTCTTCAAATTGCTAATAAAATGAAGGAAATTTTCAGTGTGGAAGAAACATTTAAGACGTTGTTTCAAATTGAGGGATCTCATAACTTGTGCCGTCCTGATGCCGCTGTCCAAATAATTTCACAAAAGCAGTATCATTTTCTCTCATTTCTTTGCAAAAATAAGGCAAGTTGACAGGAGAGAGATTGATTCTTTAGTAGCGAAATAGCTTTAAAAATATTTTTAGTTATAGATAAGGAAAATATTTACATGCTTTAAAAATGGTGAAAAGTTGCCTAATTTTTTTTCTTGCAATTTAAAACAGAAATAGTTCTTTTCTTTTTTTTTTCAAATTTAGAAAAATTAGTGTCTGGTTTGAAGAGATAGAAAAAAACGTTTCAGGGCAAAAATGACTGTCTGCATCCAGTCATGGGATTCTCTGCTTTGCGGAGTAAATGATGATTGATGACTTCCTATGTGTGATCTCTTTTTTATTTGGTGATTATTGAAACCCAGCAATAAGGAATCATTAATTTATTTACAGTAACCATAGTACATCCTCGGTGCTCTCCTATTCACAGTTCAGTAATTTCCACTTGTAGCCACCTGCGGGAAAAACAAGAAACTGAAGAACAATTTTAGAGTGAAACATTTTTCATACGCCCAGGAAAAAATATTTTAATAATACTTCCTTTTATATATTTCCATGTTGTTAACAGTAAAAAAAAAACGTTAAGTACTTATGTTTTTTTTTTTTTTTAAAGTTATCGAATGTAACATTAAAAGTAGTTTCATAAACACACTATGAAAATTGCTCTAAAAACACTTTCAAAGTTGTTTTAAAAATTTATAGAATTTAAAAATACAGTCAAACCCCCTATAGTGAACACAGTTAATAGCGAACTCCTGGATATAATGAACTAAATGTCTGGGGTCCTGTGCCTTGCTATAAAGGTATAATGTTATTTTTTGTAGACATAGTGAATCAAAAAAGTGAAGAAGTTGGATATTATGAACTTTTTTCTGTCTTCAACTGTTTTTCCCCCCATTTTTTAAAAAAATTAATTTTAAAATTTCTACTTCAAAATAAATGCATATACTGATTTTTAAAACCATCTATTCTGTGGAATATAATGATAAGCATTTTTTCTTGTTTGCTTCTTTTATCTCACTTTCCCATCCCTAAACAAAGGGCAACCCAGGCAGATGTTACACCTGTAAGGGGTCATTGGGGTCAATATCTCTTTTCTGTCAGAGGGAGTGCATTGAAATACATACTTATTCATTATTGGTCAAAGGGGTGGACACTGATCTGTGTTGATAATGCCCTCCTTTCAACTCCTTTATACTCTCAATTTAGGTAAAGAAGCCTGCAAATAAATTTCTCAAAGTTAACTATGGCGAGCAATAAACTTGAAATGTTCTCCATTGAAGATAAAATGGGCATAATCAGAAAAATTAAAAATGGATGTAATTAAGTCGATATTTGCAGGGATTGTAAATTATCCAAATCTACAGTTTGTAACATATGGAAAAATAGGCAATTAAAAATTTCTGCTTGCGAAAAAAAATTTAGATGGCAGAAAAAAGTTGAGAAAAGCAGATCACAAGGATGTGAAAGAAGCATTACTGAAGTGGTTCGATCAGCATTCAAAGAAGCCGTAATCTTCCAGTATCTGGACAAATGCTTCAAATCAAAACCGATGAATTTGCAAAGCGATTTGTTAAGACTACTTTTATGTGCTTCAGTGGCTGATTAGACAGGTTTAAAAAGCGGAATAACATAAATTCAGGAAAAATTATCGGAGAGTGGTTTCCATATCTGTGTGTGTGTGATGTTAAGGATTGGAAAAGAAATGTTTGGAATGATATCTCTCATAACTATGAAGAGAAAGAAATGTTCAACACTGATGAAGATGGATTATTTTATACTGACCAAACATTAAAAATAAAAAGTGTCCTAAAACGTGGTGGTAAACTTTCAAAAGTGCGACTCACCATTTTGGTATGTACTAATATTAATGGATTCAAGATGCGCAACCTTTTGATTGGCAAATCTTATCAACATTTCAGTTTCATATAAAGCCAATCTTAAAGCATGGATGACACCTAATCTATTTGAAAAAGAAATTCAAAAGTGGGATAAAGAAATATCAGCCCAAAAAAGAAAAATTTTGCTGTTGATTGATAACTGCACAGCACATTCAGGTGTTGAAAACCTGGAACGGATTAATCTTGTTTTCCGGCTACCAAGCGCAATATCTATAGTACAGCCCATAGATCAAGGTGGATTTTTGAAGGCTGTGAAAAATGAATTGATTGTTATGTTTCCCTTCTTGATGCCATACTAATGCACAAAAAATCTTTGCGACTGGCTACAGAAACCATTCGTAATTGTTTTCGCCGCGCTGGTTTGTCAGAAAGTGTAACTGAAAAAAATGATGATTTGCCTTTAGCGAAATGGATTGACGAACGCGGCATTGCAACATTTTCAGAATTTGATTTGGAGCTTTTTGAAATGTGCGATAATGATATCGTTACATCTGAAGATCTTGCAGACGAGGACATTTTTGAGGAAATAAGGTTAAAAAAAATGAAGATTACTCATCTGATACAGATGAAGAAATTGAAAAAAAAGGAAAGCAACCTCCCCACCATGATAGGGACCAAAGCAGTAATTAAAGTACTAAACAAGTTCTTGTGCACACAAAATATAGTGCTGAAAGTGATGAAAACATTTCGATTCTTCCACAGAAAGTATGTATAAACAAATTTTTCCTTGAATCAGCTTCTCATCAGCTAAAGATTACTAATTTTNAATTCTGTAAGAAAATAATTTTGCAGAACCATTATTGCTTCTGCAGAAATTTTCTGTTTCTGTCGAAATTATTTTTTTGTAAAACAGTTTCTGTTTCTGCAGAATCTTTTTTGAGAACTTTTGTTTTTGCCAAACACAAAAATTTTATTTCCCAAATAAGAAAATCTTTCTGCAAGAACTCAGTCCCTTTCTGCGACAATGTCGCTGTGTCGGCGTGTTTCTGCCACAGGGCTACATATTATTTTTCAGCCATTTTTGTATTTCATTTTATTTGTCATTAATTTAAATGTGTAATAAAAGGGAGGAGTTAGGAACCATTAGTTAAAATTGTTTGTGGAACGGATATAGGGAACCAAAATTCTGGTTCCTTGAAAGTTCACTATTACGGGGTTTGACTGTATTTTGTTACATTAGTTCGTAGGAGATGTATTCATTAATGTAAAACATTAAGCTGTCTGGCGAAAATTTTTGAGAAAAAGTTTTAAAACTTCTCCCATATACTAATGTTTAGGCGTAAATTGAAGCTGGCGATGGTGCCAACGGCCTATAATTAATAATTCACTTTCAACTTATTTAGGTATATCTATGGAAGTTTTAGAGTAAATACAAGTTTTGCTCACATTTATAGAAATTGTTTATCTATAAATAAGTCTGAGCAAAAAAAAATTTTTTTTATAGTTTTATTAAATAAGAGATGGAACAATATTGAATTGTAAGGTGTACAAATTTTTACACTCTTTTAGACTAATTTTCTATGTCAAATACCAAATTTGAGTGAAATTGATTGAATAATTTCTAAGTTATAAATTTTTTTTTCAGGTTTTAATTCTTAAAAACTATTTGACTAATTTTGTTCTATTTTTTCTATGGTGTTATTTAAAATTAGATAGCTTAAAATAGCATAAAAATTTGTATGCTATACAATTCAATTTGATTAAATATGCAGAATAGGAATCAATGTTTCAGGGACCCTAACTTTCAATTGCTCTATTGTTTAAACTATCCGAACCATATTTTTCCTGATTGCTGCTATCCCTCCCTTATTTTGATAGTGAGTCAAAAATTGCCAAAAAAAAAGTATATGTTCATTCAGAGAAGAAAAAAAAACACGTTTGAGTCTGGTTGTATAATTAATAACTTTAACTTAAATTCCTCCTAATTTGTCAATGTTTTAATGGTTTTTATTTCTGCTATTTTTTCATATACCCAAATATTTATAGGTTGACACATTAAGAGTTCTAAATTTATTTTGTTAACACTGAATCTGTAGTGCTTTTGACCTCTATTAAGGGATGACTTCTTAACCTAATACTATATTCTTAGCCTTATTAACTATTTCAGAAATAGAGATTGTACTATATCCATTTTGAAATTTATTATTTTTTGAGAAAAACTGATCTTTCTGAATGTTTCAGACTATTTGGTGGCCTTATTAATGATGTGAAACGCAAACTCCCCTGGTACCTGAGTGATTTTACAGATGCTTGTGCACTCCAGAGTGTTGCTTCCATATTCTTTTTGTATTTTGCTTGCCTAACGCCCATCATCACATTTGGTGGACTCCTGGGGGATGCTACGGAAGAGAGAATCGTAAGTTATTTCTTTGAGTGAATTTAAATGTAAAATATGGTATACTTTGTTACAAAAAACCTTTTACGTGCACTATTCCAGCTCATTCTTTTGCAAAATGACCTTTTCACTCTCGATTGAATGTTTTTAGGATTGCTTATCCATCTCATATTCATCAATTTTCAATACTTTTATGGCTGTAAATTTAATAGGATTATTTTAGTATTGAACTTCATATGAGGGGCTAAAAAAGAAAAAGATTGCTATATTCAGTTATATTAAGAAATAAGTTTCAGGACAGTCTTCCCTTTTTAAATCGTAAAAAAAAAAACATTCAAAAAAAATTTCTTCTTTTTTTTTGCAATTTTTTAACTTATTTTCCGCATATTCCAATTTAGAATCCACCTTTTCTTCTCATTAACAATAAAATTAGTAAGTTGAATTTAGGCTAAAAGTTATTAATAGACTGGGTAATAAGTCCGGAAACCTGGCAAAAAAAGTTAAGAGCAGTCACTGAACAAAGTCTTTTTAAGGGTCATTGGATAAGTAAGGCTAAATTGTGTGGAAAATAAGTTAAAAATCTTCAGGAAAAAAAAACACATTAATTAAAAATTGTTGCAGTAACCCAACTGGTTGCAGTAAAGGTCTTTAACCTCTATCAAACCCCGCATGAGAAGTTTAACGTTTTGCTTTCAGCAACTGGTGAACCAAAATAAGTGTTTATCTAAGCTCCTTCAGCGAAAGGTTAAAATAACACTTTTGACTTTTCCTAATTGAATTCACTAACATAATTCACCTAAATCAAAATAAATTGCTGTTAATTTCGTTATATTTGCTTATACCACAAAGGCATGGGACCTTCTTATCATAATACTTACTCTGGTCACTACAGCTTCTAAATTGTACGAAAACAAACGTAGTTAATTTGTAGCATTAAATAAGGAAGGTTATAAATATGTCATATTATAAGGGTTTCTTTAAATTATTTTAAAAAAATTATTTGTACTTTTTTTTCCATTTTTGTATAGGCTGCCATGGAGAGCCTCATGTCTGGCGCCATCTGTGGTATTCTCTATGGATTGTTTAGTGGTCAACCGTTGACCATCTTGGGAAGCACTGGTCCTGTTCTAGTCTTTGAAACAATATTATATGATTTTTGCAAGTATGCTATCCAGTTAACTTTTTCCCAAACATTGTATTCATTCCTTTTCCTACTGACATTAAATATTGTTTTAAAAATTACCTTATTATATATTAACTAATTTATTATTATTATAAAAAAAAAACTCTGTTGGTTATTCGATTCTTATTTTAGTTTAATGAAATATTTTTAGCTTATTTACTTCCTGGTATAAATCTTCCAATCCTGCATTTTCATGTATAAATGGAAAAAATGCTTTTTTTCTTTTAAGCCCACATAAAAAAAAACATATCTTTGTGAGTAGCTTTCAACTTCCTTCTTGTGACTACCTAGCCATCTTAATTTATTTGTTTACATACTTTGTTATCTCTTCTCAAACCTTTCAACATGCAATTAACATCATTCATTGGTAGTTCAACTTTGCTGAAAGCCAGAGTAATTTCTGAATTTTGTATGCTCTGTTTGTTTGCTGCTTTTTTTTTTTTTTTTTTGAGAAAAATGAGCTGTTAGAGGAAATATTGTTAAAAAAGTATTCTTTTCCCATTTTATTCTTTTTCAATTGTAGATTGTTGGTGTTTTATTTTAAACTATTTTATGTATTTAAAAATTTTCTCTATGCTGTTTAACAATTTATCGCTTAATTAACATTTAATCAAGTAATAATCGCACAATTAACAAAAAAATATTTTGATGCTTTGGAATGGAATTTTAAGAAGCTGATGGATCTAATTAAAATCTGATCTCTCCCTGACTTAAAAAGCTTTTGAAAATTTTGAAGGGAAAATTTTTGAACTTCTCAGCCTATATTTGGAAATCTATGTTAAGTTTGCTCGATTCATCACTGATTGCTTAATATTATTGTATTAGATTATGTTTTAGTTTAGATTTAAAATTTATACAGCATTCCTAAATGATAATGTTCCTTAAACACTTAAGTATAATGATCTTTTGCAGAGAGAATGATCTAGACTACTTACCATTACGTCTATGGATAGGGCTGTGGACCGCTGCTGTGCTTATAACTCTAGTCGCCCTCGACGCAAGCGCTTTAGTTTGTTACATCACTCGATTTACTGAAGAAAATTTTGCCACCCTTATTTCACTCATATTTATTTACAAATCAGTTGAAAAAGTAAGTGTTCATTTTTTTGTTAAAATATTGTTTCACACATGGTGTGTAACAATATTTTATGATGGTTTAATAACAATTAATTGTTTTCAGCAGTTTTTTAAATAGTTTTTAAAACAAGTTTGTAAAAAAAATCCTTTAAATCAGGAAAAATCTGAAATTGACAGATTTTAATTTGATTGAAGCAACAAAAAAAAGTTGAGGAATATTGGTATGGTTTATAGTAAATAATTCTATTATCTGTTACAGTTATTTATTTTAAATATTCCATTGCATAAAAGTTAAAAATTCTTTCAAATTAAATAAATTAGGAGATAAGTTTGCATTAGAAGATAGTTTAAAGAATTTTTACTTCAAATTTCTTTCTAGATTTACATATAGTTTTAGAATGACTGTTAAAAGATTGAAAATATGGTTAAAATTTTATTGAAATTTTCTTTGGGAAACATGGAAAAGTCCAGTTTTTGAGGAATCATTTGCTAATTAATTTTAGCTGAATTATAAGATTTCTGTTTTTATTATGGTGATATAATTTATCAATCCTCATTCAAAGTTCAAAAAATTGCTATAAATTATATAGGTAGCATTTGTTAGGCTGGGGATTAGGTAAAATATGCAGTGCACATAACATATTACAGAACATCACAAAAAATCATTTATATATGACAGAACAAATAACATTCATTATACACATATATCGACAACAGATTGAGAAGATATTCTACAATTGAAGGTGAAAGACATTGATGTTTGTATCTAAAACTAAACAGTATATTTTTTATCCGGTGAAACAGCAATATTGCAAACAGAATCCATAAAATATCGGGTTGAGTCAAAAAAAAGTTTTCCGCCTAGGGGAGATACCTCCGCGCCAAACAGCAGCCATTCCAATGGTAGCTAACCTTTCTTCAAACGAGTTTTTGCATTCTAAAGCTGAGAGTTGGAACTACACAACTGTGTAATTTGTTTGACAATTATTATCTTGTGCACCAAAAAATTGTTTAAAATGGAGCTATCCCATCACCAGATCAGAACAATTATGTACTATGAGTACCAAAATAAACCCTAGTGCAACTGAATGCCACAAAAAAATGTGAAAGTTTGGGTTTCAAAATTGTTTCTTATGATACAATAAAGTTTGCTTTTGAAAGTTAAAAGCTGGGAATTTTGACATTGAAGATGAACCACGATCTGGCCTCTTTATTGAGGTTGATTGTAACCAGTTAAAGCAAATCATTGATCAAGCGAGAAATGTTTCAACATGAACTATTACGTTAGAGCTTAACGTTTTTCAAATAACAATAGTTAATGCTTTCAAACACATAAATCTAATGTTTAAGTTGAACCACTGGGGGTGGAACGATTGACTGTTAAAGACAAGCAAAAGAAAAGCAAGCTGTTTGGCTCTGTTCAGAGATCAAAGAAAAGAGAACATTCTGGATAGAATTGTAACCTGTGATGAAAAATAGGTGTACTACAACAATACAAGCCGTAAGGCAGGCTAATTAGCACCCGAGGAATCAGCAGGCTCTGTAGCAAGACGAATGCTAACTAACAAGAAAGTGCTTCTCTGTATCTGGTGGGATTATCTATCTATAAGGAGGGCTTGAAAAGCAGACCGGCTATCAGCAATACAATATACAGCAATATGCTAATCAAAGTTAGTGATGAAATCGCTAGTTAGGCGATTAGTTAGCATTGCGAAAAAATTAAAAAAAACTAGTTCAGAAGGAAGGTGGTCTCTTTCATCAAGATAACGCCCGGCCACATGTTAGTGCGATGACTGACTGGGCGCTCTACATGCTGGAGTGGGATTTGATGCAATATCCACCATGCAACCCAGACATGGCGTCTTTAGATTACTATCTGTTTTCGCATCTGCAGCTGCATCTCGATGGCTCTTTCATTCAAATAATGATTTTGATCGCTTTCTGGACTCGCGCTCGCTGCAGTTCTTCATTGAAGGGATTGAAATGTTGCCAAAATGCTGGCAGACCATTGTTGGTTTGGACCATGGAGATTACTATTCTCATTGTTGGACCATGGAGATTACTATCTTCATTAGCTTTACTGATTTTGTATGTATTTGTCATTTTATAAGTCTTTTTTTGGCGAAAAACTTTTTACTCAACCCCATACTACTACATTGTTTGTTACTAAGTTTACTGCACACAAATTTATTAGTCTTCTGAATTGCATTAAAATTCCGCTCTTTTAACTGTCCTGTCTTTATACTGGTGTCTCTCTCTCTAGCTTGTATTAGTGATTTTTTTAAAAAATGCCTTTATTATAAGGATTTGAAAAGCTTCAACGGTTTTACTTAAAGATTCTTTTTTCCCTTCTTTCCGTTAAATTTTAATTTCTAGGTTTTGGACATTGGACACTACTACCCCCTCGTCTCCTCTTCGATATCATTCCCAGCTGAGTGCGTATGTTCTCCGTCAAACGGTACTACCAGAGAAATATTTGATAGCATTGAGTGGAGCAACCTAAACAGAACTCACTGTGAGTGGTACAATGGTACCATGGTAGGATCTGGATGTATCACAACCTATCCTGACGTCTACTTATTTTCTATCATTCTTTATGCCTGCACATTTGCCATTGCAGTGTTTCTGAAACAGTTTAAAACCACTCCATTTTTCCCTTCTAAAGTAAGTGATGTCTCTAATTATGTATTTATTAATGTTTATCCAAATCTTGTGTTTATGACTTTGCGGCATAATACTTTTATTTCAGTAATATCTTATCAGATAATAAATAGTTGGGATAGGTCATCTCCTGGTTTGTATCACGCACAGTGCTGATGTTAAATATCCTCAATGGTAGACCAAGCATGGGTTAGAATCATCCCCTTGCCATTGGGATAGCGGTGGGAGTTTTTCACCCCATGTAGGATTAATTATATCAAGCTCTTCTCAAAGGCTAGTTTGTCCCCAATATTTGATCCATAGCATAAATTCTTATCCTAAGGGGTCCTAAGCATTATCTATGGTCCTAGCATTATCTCTGCGCATTGCAATTCTAATTCTTTTCGCTATTTAAGTATCGTACATTATGATTCTTATTTACGCGATTTAAAAATCCAATATCACGTTTTGTATTTATGCATTTTTAAAATCGCGATTTTATTATCAAACATCGATTTTCGTATTTACCTGATTTAAAAGTTGAACATTGCGATTCTTATTCAGGCGATTTAGGTATCGTACATTGCAATTCTTATTTTTTATGAGATTTAAAAATCCAATATCGTGATTTGTATTTACGCACTTTTAAAACCCTATGTAGCAATTCGTATTCACGCGAGTTTAAAATCAAATTTCGTGATTCGTTTTTGCGATTGTACTATCAAAAATCGATTTTCATGTTTATACGTGCTTTAAAAATTAGGCATTGGGATTTACATTCGCGCGATTTAAAAATTATGCATTGTGACTCGTATTTACGTGATGTAAAAATTACGCATCATGATTTGTATTTTCACATTTTTTCAATTCGGTGTAGAGTTTCATATTCACATGATTTAAAAGCCTCACATCGGGATTCATATTCTCTCAATTTAAAATCATGCATGTGATTCATATTGATCTATTCATACAATTTTAAAATTAATCATCAGGATTTATAATAACATGGTTTACAAGTTTAAAAAAGGCACTTTTTTGTCTATTTTTTGGATATATATATATATATATATATATATATACACACACACATTCATTCATTCCTGGATTTCCTCCTTTTTACTTTCTGACTACTCTCATCCCTGCTATGCACACCTTACAGCTCAAGAAGATAGCATAGACTTCAGCCTGAGAAACAGTAGCATAATTACCAGGAAAAATGTGAAGTTTGGTATCATCATTGGAACAATAAATACCTGCCCCTGATTTAAAACTAAGCCTTTATCCATTAAACAATTGCCCCTAAGCCACAGAGGAGATTTGAGCCATTCATCTCTGAAAGAAATATGGATTTTAAAAAACTTATGAAAAGCATATCTTAGTGACTGGACATGATAAAGGAAGGAAGATCAGTCATCTGTGACATAAGGTGACCCCACAACAAGTGCCTAGAATATTTCTTCCATAATCCAAGGTACATTAATGCGTGTCAGAGCTTCTATGTGCAAATATAGCGGAAGGAGCCCAAGTTAGTCTCAAACGAGTGGTTGTGAGACAGCCTGACAAGGCTACACAGACCATTTTTTGCAGTCTGTTAAGACCAGACCTCACGGAGCTCAACTTAGTCTTAGACAATGGTGCCATATGTGACTAATGCAATGGCGTACGCAGAATTTTTTCAAGGGGGGTGTTCATAATTTTCTGAAACTACTAAGAGAAATTCGAATCTGTTATAAAGCACTATTATTTCCCTAATTTTGACAGCTAGACAATTTTGACTTTTTATTTAGACAACATTGTTTAGTTAAATTTTGATTTGATTTTTTAAGTTTAGGAACATAATGTAATATTTTCTGAAAAAGTTTAATGTCATATGGGTGGAAAGTAACACTTTGAGGGCCACTTTCACATTCATCAGATTTTGTTATGCTAGAAACGTTTTCTTCAACGGAAGTATCACATTTCTGTGCAACAGAAAAACTTACATTGGTACTAGATGCTATCACCTCACTAATTCCAGATCGTGATTTTTTCTCAAAATAATTAAAAATTGCTAAATTCTTGCGTTAAAAATTGTTAAATCCTAAAGATCTAAGAACAGCAAATACATGTATATATTGGCACAGAAATATCCGCCATGCTACGATCTCAAAGTTTCGAGCTGGAATGAATAACTTCAACGAGCACAGTATCTCTGGTATTGCTACTGATTTTTTCACTAGTCGAAATACTGGCGACAACGGGTTCGGCGATTGAATGAACTTTTTGTTAAGACAAAACAAAACAGATTTAGCGACAAGCTCCGAAAGACAAGGGGCAGAGATAATTCTTAGTCTGACTAACTCCACTGTACTCCGTTCCCCCTTTTATATAATTTTTCACCGCATCTCCAAAATTCTCGAATTGTCTCCAAAACGACAGAACGTCTAGGATTCCAGAATCATCGCGTAAAGATCTCGCAAATGACAGCCAGTCTCGAAAACTATACTGGCAGGACAGAAAGGAACCAGTCCATAACAGTATCTCGTGAATTTGGTTTCAAAAGTGCAACCCTATTATAGTAAATGTTTTTTCAGTATTCTGAGAAATACCGTGAGGAAAAAAAAGTAGGCATAAGGTTAATAAAAATATATAGTCTTAAGAAATAATAGCTCGCATAATTTCTACTAAAATTTTTATTTTTGCCATTTTGTCTGAGCTCAAGGGGGGTGTTTAAACCCCTAAACCCCTCCCTTGCGTACGCCACTGGACTAATGATCATTGAGTAAATCCAGTAACAAAACCTTACAATGTGTTTGTTGTTTTATACAAATTTTCACAATGCTGTGTCAACTGAGTTAGGATCTCTAAATAACAAGATATTGAAGATTTTTTAAAAATATTAACACAACTTAGGCAATAGTTTTCTACTAAAATTATGCTTAACATGTTCGCTGCCACCGACGCACTAGCGCGTCAGAGCTTGACCTACTTGTATGCCGACGACGCGCTGGCGCGTTGATCGACTATGATAAGTTATATGCTCTGTGTTTAGTATGGCTTTGGAAATTGAACAGAGAAGTTGTTTCGGCACGCTGGTGAAGCATTATTTTTTGGGGTTGGTTATCAAAACTTTTGTTTGAATTTTTTTATGTGCGTGACTGCCAATATCTGTATATTGTGCTTATTATGTAAATATTTTCAGTATTGTTTCATAAATGGTACTACGTATACTTGAATGGTATTCCGTTTTATTCCTTTCAAGCTGCTATTTTATGCAATATGCCGGTTATTTCTGAGAATACTGATCAGACGCTCTGGAGCGTCTGATCAGTATTCTCAGATCAGATACTGATCAGACGCTCCAGAGCGTCGGAAAAAAAAACACTCTCTAAACAGGAAAATAATATGTTTCTTCGTTTTTCAGGTTTTCCTTGTAAATATAAGGAACATTTAAACTATTCGAACCCATCTACTGAGGATGGAAATATCATTTTTAGTGGCAGCGAATGTGTTAAGAAACCTATATATAATGACAAAGTTTTATTTTTAAATTTTCCTTAATTTCCTTTTGAAATTTTCCATGGCTTTTCTTAGAAACTCTTTTCTCAAAGAAAATAAAAGTTCCGTGATTTTAAGTGTCATCTTTCTGAAAGAATGACATTTGACTGTAAAAAAAGTAAACATATTTTCATTTTCTCAAAGTTTCAACTTCATGAAATTACTATAGAAATAGTCCATAGAAAATTTATAATTCCTAATGTTTAAATATTCTTTTGGCTGTAATCTTATTGCAATGAATGAATTGGTTTTTCAAATCTTAGGCAAATAGCTGTCAAATGCTTTTTATTTTACTTAACTTTAAATCTTCTTGTTGAGACTTTTTTTGGATATGGTGGATATAATAAATTAAATGGATATATAGGTATTATTCATAACCACACATGTATAAAAATGACTTGTTACTTACTAAAATTCATTTTTTTCATTTAGAGATAGAGAGAAGGACAACCTTCTGGAGAAATCAAAATTTTGTACATTTTTTAATCATTCATTTTTAATTACTTTTCATTTTTTTTATCCCTCAATTAGAAATTTACAATAAGAATGTTCTTTGATTCAAACTTGCAAATGATAAGGAAAATATTCTTTGATATCTTTGAAATTGGAATTCAGGAATTATAGAGAGAAAATTTGTGTGTTTTAATATGTATTGTAAATATCTAAGTGATTTGATAAACTTTGTGAAAAGTTAAGCTTTTAAAAATGACATACATTATAATTTTTGTTTTCAATTTGAGCGCATTTGAAAGCTTTCAAATTTTTTGAAGCTCCTATTGTCATCATTATTTTATTGCATTTTATGATAAAAACTTATACTTCAATAAAAGTAATTTAAAATTTCCAACTTGTAGAACACTGAATATTACTTCGAACAAGTAACATAAATGTTTATTTTTATTTCGTATGAAACTGAGTTCCCATGGGATCAAAGAAACGGTATTTGATTTTAGAAAAAAAAATTCGAGAATAATACAATTTTTGGCCCAAGCCTGGAAAAATCTTGTAACCAACCCAGGAAAAAATTAATTTTAAAATTGACAGCAACAATAAGTAGCCAATAATGTTCAAAAGAAATGAGTTAAACATCTATTTCTGATATTTCTTGTAGAAATTCTGACTCAACATGGTTAAATTTTTCTAGAATTATTAAAAAAAAAATTGTTTGTGAAAAATAATCATGCCTTAAATATTAGTTTAAAATTTTCTTACATATATTTGCAGTTAAATAAAACATAAGTTTTAATAATTTAGTTTTCTGTAAAAATTTTGGCTCTTAATCACAAGTTAGATATAAGAAGACTGACTATAAACAAACTATGTTTCGTTAAAATTTTAAATTGCTTGTGTTTTTTTGCTTATTAAATATATATATATTCGTGTGTGTGTGCATGCAAGTGTGCGTGTGTTTGTATTTGGAATTTTATTTTTGAATTGGAACCCCTGATGCAAAGATATTAATGTGAACAGGTACGAAGTACAGTCAGCGACTTTGCTGTTGTGATAGCTATTCTTTTAATGACTCTTGCTGATATTGGTGTTGGTCTGAAGACTCCTAAACTGCAAGTTCCAGAAAAGTTTCAGGTAATATTTATTTATTTTATACTATGAATTTGCTGGAAACTCTGCAAATTTCTACAACTGCTGATCGCAATTATTGTTGAACAGCGCACCAAAATTTAACGGACCACCCTGAATGACGTTTGATCTAATGATCGGATCTTCACGTTCTAGGACTCAATCTTAATGGCTTGAGGGGGTGACCTCAAATAGGCTAGTTAATTGGTGCAGACGATATTTTAAGCTACAAAATCAGACTCAAAAACGTACTTTCCCTAAATAAACGTATCTTTTTTTTAGGTGGGTTCCAATTTTTGATCCCTTAAATACGATCCCGATATGTTTGTTCAGGAGAGCATTCCAAAGTTTGAGCCCCTTAATGGTAATTTTACTTTTTACGTGTTTCGCTATATCTGACGAACTTTTTTAAGCGAATTGAAAAAAGGTTACACACAATTATAAAATTGGTTTATCTAAAGATAATTTCCATGCAAAAATATTTTATTTAAGAATAGTTGATAAAATTTTGAATCGTACAGAGTTTTTTGCATCTTTTTAAAAAAATTTATTTTATAAGGCAAAATTTAAAATTTGAGTATCTGACGTTTTTTAAATTCAATATTTCTGGAATTATTAGACTGATTTTGCTCAAATTTTATATTTTGCCATGCAAAATTACATTCTTTAAAACTAGGCAGAAAATTTTCTGCCTTACATTTCAATTTTTTTTTTTTTACCATTCTTAAATAAGACAATAAAAATATATTTTTACTAAAAGCTATTTTTTGAATGGAATTATCCTTGAATAATTGAATTTTATAATTGTGGGTAAAAACTTTTCAATGTGCTTTAAAAAACTCTTGAAATATAGTGACATTAAGGTGTCCAAACTTAAAAGCGCTCTTCTGAACAGACTATTTTAACCCTATTTCTCAAATTGCAACTACACCCTTTATTTTGCTGATCAAAATTCCGAATCTGTCGAAAAAAAAGATATGTTTATTCAGAGAAAGTAAATTTTTGTGTCTGATTTTGTAACTTAAAATATCATTTGCACTTATTAATTAGCATATTTGAGGTCACCACCACAAATCATTAGGATTTTTTGGTGCACTATACAGTATCTTTTTTCGTTGTGAGATAAGCAAAATGAATATTTTATATTAATTCAATTATTTTACTGCACATCTGAATAAGCAAACTGTTTTTTCTTCTTTTTTTCATTATGTGATGTCATTTCATAACAATTATATGAAGCGTTAAGTGTTTACTAAATGTTAAAGCACTTTCTCTCTCTCTCTCTTTTTTCCTTTTTTTTTTGCAGTATTTCAAAGAAATTGAAATAATGCAATTAGGAAAAACTAATTTAAAAGTATGATTCTTATCTGATTAATCAGTTAATTTGAGGAAGGTGTATTTTTATATATTTTGCAAGGCTTTTACTGTAGTTTCATTTATGAGTAACTGTTTTTACATTTCCCCATTTTTTATTATTCTGTCGCAAGAGCCATTCTTCATAACAAACTTTGTTTTGTATATCGGTGTTATAAACTATTGTTTTTTTTAAGGAGTTCTCAATTTTTATAAAAGATAATGTAATATTGATATATATATATATATATAGATAGATACGTAATACATATAGATATATAATGTAATATAGATATGCATAAATAGAAAAGAAATGGATAAAGTAAAACATTTTGCATATCTTGGTGCTGTGCTGACATAGTGTCCCAGAGAAATTGGGTGGGACAGATAAAGATGTCTCTTTAAGAATTAAAAAAGCACAATTCACGTTCAAGGCACTAATAAAAATATAATACAACATCTAAGTGAAGGTGCAAATTTTCAAATCAATAGTAAGAATAGTCCTTTCCTATTTTATGCAGTACCTGATATTGTAATATTTTACTGGCCAATTGAAATATCTAAGTCTAAATTATTTAAGCAAACTAACTGTAACCCCACAACAGCGATACATAAAAAATTCAGATGGGTGTGGGAACTCTTTCTGAAAATGATGCCATCTGACACAACACGAATACGGTGCTCCGTTTGACAAGAGCAAATGATCCTAAAACGAAACAAATTATTTGAATGGCAGAGCTAGTGGACCAAAAGGACTTGTTTGTTGAAACGTAAGGAGGAAAAAAATTTCTTTTTGAGTATGATCTTCTGAAGTGCATTCAATTACACCTAATGTTAATCGATTACTACTATTTCTATTAAAAATGAGGTGAATAATATTTACGTTTTTAAATTTTTATCTGTAGATTTCTTTAATTGTAATTGGTAGTAGTTTTTTCTGAAATCTTTTCTGAGTTAAAAAACTTCAGATTTTAGAAAGTATTCTACTAAACTTATTTTTTTGCTTCAACTAGTTATAAGTAAATTTTAGTTTCTTTTGATAAATTCGATCAATTACCTAACTCTAATAATAAACCATTATTTTAAAATAATCAGTTATATCTTTGTGTCTTATATTTATTATTTTTTTTAGCCAACATGGCACGGACGTACCTGGCTTATTACTCCATTTGGTCAGAGAAATCCTTGGTGGACATCACTTGTTGCAATTTTGCCTGCACTCTTGGCAACTATCTTGATTTTTATGGATCAACAGATTACTGCAGTCATTATTAACAGACATGAAAACAAGTTGAAGGTTCAAACTTAAATTATTATGCTTTTCCAAATGTTTAAAATTATAGAAAAGTTGAATTTTCTTTTTGGTGCATTCTTAAATTAATTTGTGAATGTTTTGCAATTCAGAAAGCCGATAGGCATTAGAAGCAAAAATTGAATTTGGAAAGAAACTAACCTACTGGATATCATTTTGCACTTCAGTGTTATTGCGGAAAGTGTTACAAATCCCTTTTGTTAGCTTCATTTCATATTCAATAACATATTTGTAGTTTAAAATATTTTACGCTTTTAATGTTCAAAGTTAAGAGGAAGAAAAAGTTTACAGGAAGAAGGATTCTTATTGAATACTGCTTATTTAAATACAGCAGAGATTAGGGCTCCAATTCATCTTAGCTAATCTCTGATATTTAAATTTTTCTGAACTTCTTTTTTTTTCTTCGAAAATACAATATTTTCCTTAGAATAAGGGTTTGTGACATAGAATAATTTTGGTACTTTGGGATTATCCTGTTAACGCTTGCGTTCAACTTCTTTAGCGCCATCATAATGAAAAGCAATTTCCAAAATAAACATTCTAAACACAATTCCAAACACATTGAATTTATCAAATAATAATAACAAAAAAAACTCGTTTATCGCACCCCTTCACATTGCACCACCATTGCGTATCAGTTTTGATATACAATGCCATATCATGGTCATTCACACACATTTTCTTAGAAGAAATGATAACTATGCCATTGCACTCTCAAATTTGAATCTCTTTGCAGCGCAGTTAAAAAAGAAAATAGTATATTTCAACACTCTAAAATACTCGCATTGTTAAGGATTACACAGTAAAAATCATAAAATTTGTGGTTATTGGTGCAGAAGCTACCTTTTGGCAATAATATCGGGTTTGACGAAAATGGTCGGCTGGATAATCCCGAAATACCATAATTTTAAAATAAAAAATGAAAAGAAACAATTTCTAATTACCATTTAAGATGGAGTAAAAATAGTAGACAAGTTTGAAGAGAGATGTAAAAGCAAACCATTGATCTAAAAATTAAAGTGCTGCTCCAAAATTTCAACACAGCCCCCCTCTCCACTCATATCACTGATCTTAATTATAAAATTTAGTGTCCTTTTAATGGAAACATTTTTTTTTTCATTATCTTAAAAGGATTATATAAATTTCAATATAAAGTTTTGGAGTTAAAATAATTTGTATAAAATCATTTCTATAAAAAGTTTACTTGAAAAATGGGGTTTTAAAATTTCTAGAAAGGAAGTCACTTCTTTATGCTGAGATTATTAGAAACCTGTGCCTCAAAATCAGTATAAGCAATTGTTAACAAATCAACTTAGGGGGTGATAGAAACTTTGTAAAATAGTTTGAGTCACAACTTTTACACCTTTTTAAATTACTTTAAAAACAACTACAAGTTTGTAACTGTTTTAAAATATTTTTGCATACTGTATCTATTTTATTAACATCTCTGTAAAATTATAGGGATGTTTATTGGTGAACATTTTAAGAACACTTAATCATAATTGTTTTTACATCATGTTTTTTAGAAAGGTTGTGGTTATCACTTAGATTTATTTGTGTTGGCTATATTAATTGCAATATGCTCCATCTTTGGTCTCCCGTGGTTTGTTGCTGCAACCGTGCTTGCCATGACGCACGTCAATTCTTTGCGGATGGAATCTGAGTGCTCTGCTCCAGGAGAGAAACCTCATTTTTTGGGAGTTAGGTAGGATATTTTACCTGCCATCCTTTTTAAGAGTGAAATGTATAATTTATGATTATTTTTGGTGCAATTTGAATACTTATTTTAAGAATATTGGTTCTATACAGGGTTCATAGTTTTCTTGATACGATATATTATGTGCTCATTTTTGGTGTTTTGTCCTGATATTCCTGTTTTTTTTTTTTTTTTNTTTTTTTTTTTTTTTTTTTTTTTTTTTTTTTTTTTTTTTTTTCAGAACACTTTAACAAACACTTGATGGTAAAAGAATCATTTGGATTTTTTTTAAATTTCTTTATCTAGAAAATAAGAAAAACTAGACTTTGTAACTTCAAAACTAGTATGTTTTTATTCATAGTGTGAATTCAAAAACTAGTCTCAAAAGGAATGGAATTAATGCGGAGAAATATTCCTTTCGTTTTCCTTTTCCTCAGTAATACGAATTATCGTTGCAACAAAGAATTTTTAATTGCTCCCATCCTCTTCACCCTTTTTCATCATAAATTAGTAGTACAAGCATTTGAACCTCAAGGTCATGCACAACTGGTTTTTTACTTACAGGATACTGAAGAGCAAATTTTTAAAGAATCCCTCTTCAACACTAAAATTTCATTTTTTTTTTTTTAAATAATCCAATTATGCTATTTCTAAACTCCAAAGTATGCCTGATATAAAAGTTAAGTACTGCTGTGTATCCTGTCACGGCTCCTATTCTTGAAAATATTGTAAGTTTACTTATTGTATGTACAGTAGGGAACCGATTATCCAGAACGATCGGGACCATCGCTATTCCGGATAACTGATTTTTCCGGTTTTCTGAATTGCTACAAAAAGCCGTTTTTTTTATTGTTAAACCCAACTAAAAAAAATAATATTTGGAAATAATCTTAAAAAGAAGAAAAAACGATGAAGTAATACACTAATGATTATTTCCAAAATGATAGTAAGGTAAACATCTTTCCAAAAAGAAAGAAAAATTCTAAAATCTTATGAGGAAAAAAAAAATTCTTTTTAAAAAATGGCGGGAAAATTTATCGAATTTCGTTCCGGTTTTTTGGTTTTCCGGTTTTCTGATTTTCGGATAACGGGTTCTGTACTGTACTAAATTAAATATTATTTTGTACCAAAAATTATGTATAATTTTTGAAATTGTTTAAGGATCTCCATGGTAGGTTTGTGGGCTAGGTTTTTTTTATGAATGCCTTTAATCTTACAAAATTTGTGTTGTTTTTATAGTCTAAAAAATGGCGCATTAAATTTATATTGCCTCTACATTCAGATTGCTGTCAATCCTTTTACCTATTATTATTTTAATCAGTTGGGAAAACAGTAATTAAATTCGGTGGCTATTCACTCATTTTTGATTGTATAGTTTTGATACACGATACACTTAAAATCTTGGTTGTTTCGGAATGTTTATATCTAATTTTTATTTAATAATAATAAAACTTAATAATCCTTAAGAATTTTAAACATGATAGTTGGAATTTTGGATCCATTCACCAATTACTCATATTTAGACTTTTAATCTTGTTTCAGTCTTTTGGTCATTTTATAAAATTTGAGCTTATGATTTATTTTAATATGATCTTGCAAATTATGAATCTTGGCGTTTTTGCTGCCAATTTTTTTTACTTAATAAGTCCAATTGCTAAGTGAAAAATATTGCTAAAGGTTAGCTTAAGATTTTTTGAGTAGTAAATTCTTTTCTCTGGGTTATCAAATTTCAGTGAAGGCACTGTTTATCATTCCATATACATTTCCTTTATTTGCAAAATTCAAAGTACTTTTAATGTTCATTTACTATAAGTAATGGCTTAATTTCTTGTTTTATTTTTATGATCTTTCTTTCCAGATTACGATGTATTACGTTTTCTAATCATTTGTTTATTTTTTATACATTTATTCTTTAGTGTGTAGATTACATATATTACAGTTTTAAAATAATTTATTATTATATAAAAATGATTATAATTGTCAGTTTTATTTTAAACCTATTTCAATCTGTCTTTATATTGCGGAATCTATTTTTAAATTCAAGAAAATGAAGGTTCTGAGTTTTCATACCTTAAGTAGGTATGCATGAAAATGCATTTTTTTTTTTTAAAAAAAACCTTTCTGATGGAATTGTTCCTATCGTTATTTTTTATTGGAAAACGTTGAGTGTTGTCCATATTCTTTTTTAAAATGTTGTGAAGAATTAAAGAGACATGCCACACAAAACAAAATTTTCATACCAGTTAATAACAACCTTATTTTAGTCCTTCATTTCCTCTTCTTAATAGTTTACTATGTATTGCATCAAAAAAAAATTCTGATATTTTTGTGAAATCTTGTCCTGATTTTTCTTTTGAACCACTACAAAACCTGCTCTGCATCCAGTATTAGCCCACTTTTGTGACAGCTAAGTTAGTAACATTGTCCTGGTTTAAAGAAAACTGTTTTTCTTTTTATCCGATTAAGTCACTGCTTGGAGCTTACTATTTTATTTTTTACTTGTTTAAAAAAAGTTATTTATGTTCAAGCACTGGTTACCAATATGCGCACCAAAATGCCCTCTGGACTGCAGCATTGAAAATACTAACAAAAGCAAATTATCTTTTATAGATTATGTCAGTTTCAAATAAGAACTTTTACTGAACAAAGTGTTGGATTTCTTATAAAACACTTAAAAATTTTGAAACTGAGATAGATAACAATATATTATTGCTGTTTATTTGAACCAGTACCAGTGTTTACCAGTACAATAATGGACCAGTGTTGAAAATTAGATGTATAATTTTTATATTTATTCGATTAGTAAAATAAACTCAATGTAAAATAATAGTAAGTACAAAACCACTCCATTGGTAATGAGTTGTTTTTCACATTGCTGATAAGCTTTCAATCCTAGAAACTTACAAGATAAAACTTATTTTCAGAGTAAGTAAAATCAGCATATAAAAAAATATGGATTTCACAGAAATATTTCTAATTGTTAAAGAATTTATATAAATAATGAATTTCATAATTAACAAATGAGTATTTTTAGTCCTTTTTATAAATAAAGATCAACTTAAGGACCGATAAAATATTTCAGTATTTCTTAAGAATTGTGGAACATTTTTTGACCCATTTATTTCTGATCATTCACATACTCTCAACAATGAAAAATATTTTAAGCCTATTAAAATATAAATATAATTTATGTTAATTCTTATTCAGATATTAATTTTGCGATTCAAGTAGCAAAATTATGAAGCTAAATTATGCAAACCAAACCAAAAGAATGCAAATAAATTAAAAAGAAATAATAAATACTCAAAAAATAAATACAGTAATTTCGGGTGGACACGTCACACCACCATACAGGCCGAACCCGCGAAAAACATCGCTAAAACTTTCAATTTTCATCTTATAGACCGTGTTGAAAAATAGGAGCCAGCTTATTAAGTTTAAGATATTGAAGAAATCTATTACAAATAAAGAATTCACTTCATAGAAAACTGTGCAACTATATTTATTGAAGATAAAACTTTAAATATAAAGAAAGAAAAACTACATTCAATTAAACTGGCATAACTCTCTCTAAACATCCCCTAGGAAGTGACCCTACTGCCCATCTATTTGTTTACATTTTCCAACAGGCCGCACCGCGGTAAAGGCCACACTTTTGTTTTTTGGATGAATCATCGATTTTTATCTAATATCACATGCGTGAAAATACACTTGAAAAATAATAATCTTTAAAACATAAACTCTATGCTTAGAAAACAGTTATTGGTAAATCTATTTTTATATATACTCTTATTATAAAAAGAAAGAATTGAGAATGATACTTTTACAGAAGAAATATGTATAACCAATCTAAATCGTAAGTTGAGAATGTGTACGCACTGAAAAATAAACTGATGACAAGATAAAAATAAATCTCCTTTTTTTTTTATTTACTTTTCAAATATTTCTGATCAGATATTTGTTCAAAACCATCGAAATCGGATTCTTCACTGTCAGAACAAAACAAACGTTGTAAATCATCACCTAGTTCATTATCTATATCATCTTCATCAAGGAAGGAACATCTTTCAAGCAAAAGCTCGTAGCGGTAAGATAAAAGAAAGAGAAGGAAATGTAATTCCTTCTCCTTCTTTCTGTAGAACAAGTAGGGGGGAAACTAAAGAATATAAAGAAAGCTGCACAATATGTTGAAATACATACGGCCCCCTTCCCATGCTAGGTCACCTTATTCCAGGTGCAACCAGGAAGAAGAACTATTTCATTCACTAGTTATAATAGTAATGGTCAAATGTAACCGCAACTTTTGAAACGTAGATTCTTCAGTGACCTTCAGTAAAAAAAAAATTAATAATTAAAAAGAAAATGAATGATCACCGCAGTCATAGGTGGGGAGGAAGTCGCGGAAGGATTCTATGATGTCCAAAATACTTATGACATCGACAGCCCAACATAAATTTAGTGTGAGTAAAGATAAAAATGAAATACTTCCCTCTCCTCTTTGGACTGTGAAATTTGGAAGGGAGAGATAATAAATGTTTCCTTCTTTCTCCCCTCAACCCCCTGCTATCATTAGCACAATGACCTGTGTGAGGAAGGGTTGGAAATGACAGCAGAACATATGGAAAATTAAACAAATTGTTCTTTTGATCAATAGATGTAGACAGTTTTTCTTTGTTTTTCGTTTTGTTTCTAAAATTTGATTTATGATGAAATTGTTCTTTTAGCTGGGTTCGTTCTAGCTTCATAAAAAAGGTGAGATGATGAATTCTAAAAAAAACATGTTTCCTCATAATTAAAAAATCATGGTTCTAAAGAACGATATCTAATTTTAAAAATAAAGTTCTTATTGCTTATCATTAAAAAAGTAAAATTTTTTCTAACCAAAACAGCTAAACATAGAAGAAAAAAAAAAAGTTTTAATTCTACTTCGTAAGAGAACTCGTTAAAAGAAAGAGAGAAAGAAACTACGATTGCACTTAGATCACAAAGGAAACATTTCAAATAAGACAAAATCTTTCCTCTCCAAATCTTAAGCTTCAATTATTTATTATAAAATCTATATATCAATCTACGATCAATCGGATAAATAAGTTCATAGATAATAAAAAATAATAAAGTATTGATAAAGTTTATTTTTGATTTTTAGATGATGTAGAAATTGCTGAAATAAACGCTACGAATTTTTTTTTTTTTTTTTTACTGAAATTGATTTTTAAAAAAAGAAATAAAATTTATAAGAAAAAGAATACTTTCTTTCAAGAAAAAATAAAATGAATTATAAATTTCAATGGGAATGAATTTAGTTTCTGAGACAGAAGCAGATGTTCCAATTGAAATATTTTAATAGTTCGAAGTCTTGTTCCATTTGTTTTTTATTTTGGTATTTTCTATAAACTCAGTAATGGGATTTGTTTTGAAGAATATCGTTTTTTTTCTTTCTTTCTATATTTTTAAATTTTTTTTTCTTTCTTTCAAATTTAATCTTTTTTTTTCTGTTGCAATTTGACAGTTCTACATCAGTCAATCAGCAGATCGGTGTCAATTAAAAATTCCAGTGATTTCTTTTTCTTAGGCTTGTTTATTTAAGGCAGAAGAGCTTTTTTTTTTTCAATTTTTATATCTTATATATTGAATGCATCGGTTCACAAAAGGGGCAGAAATTTTTAATCAGCGTTGAAAAATAAATAAAAAGGAAGTATACAACTAAAAGTATCTACAGAAATAGAACAAAAAGAGTTGATTTTCTAGTTTTGTAAGAATTTGAAATTAAAGTTTACTAAGTTTAATTATTCTTAAGTTACAAATCGGAAGTTGTAATACCATTTGTAGATGACGTCGGACGGTTTTTCGTCAATCGAAAACTTCTTTAATCGAACTATATTTTAATGGAAAAAAAAGTTTTCAGAGCAAACATTACGAAATAGGTACGTTATTTTGGAAAATTTTCGGTAAACATCTGTTTTTTTATTTATTTTTCTTATAACCGTCATTGAACAGCTGACCCAATTTTATGGGTTTACAACTACTAATGTTCAACTCCATAGTCTTGTGGCCGCACAGACCGCACATCGTGACAGCAAAACTTTTTAACACCTATAGGCCCCGGCCTATCTACCAGAAATTACTGTAACTGAATTTAATATGGCTGCTATTGTTATTTGTTAATGATTTGCAGGTTAATTTGTTAATTTTAATAAGTAGGAGAAAAAAACCTCTTAATTGTATTCAATATTGAATAAATAACAAGTTCAAAATAATAACATGAGTAAGCAATATTTTAAAGCACCTCAAAAGCATTTAAACTTGTTACACAAATGATTTGTTTTCAAATTTGATTTCTAGATTTGCTATTTATGAAACTTAATATAAAAAGTTAAATAAAATTTGAAATTTTTTAAAATTTGCATTTTTAAATTACTATTTTATTTTAGGGAGCAGAGAGTTACACAGATAGTGATTTTTGCTCTGGTTGGTCTATCAGTTCTTTTTACTTCTGTTCTTCAGGTAACATTATTTTGTTTCATTATCACTGAAAGTGAAAAATTAATCCACCTTCCTGAAAAAAATTTTTTTAATTATTCTTAAACTACATTATTAAAACATTTTATATTTAATATCTTAAATAGAGTAAAAGTCAAAAACATATGTAGTGTTATGAACTTTCTATTGTCCGCTGCCCAATTTCAATTTTTTAGTTTTTTTTTATTAAAAAACTTGATTCAATAAGCTTCCAAATCATGAGACTAATACAATAATTTTTAACTAAATATTTATATTAAATCTTGTTAAGAAATGAATTCAGTCTATCAATAATCCCAGGAGCAGAAACTCTTCAGCACAGCTGTAGGTATTGCAAATTATTTTTCATCCAAGTTTTTTTTTTTTTTAAAATATGAGAAAATTGTTCTGACTGCCTTTTAAAATATCTCTAAATTTTTTTCTAATACAAATTAAAAGCTGAGTTGAAAAACAAAAAAAAACCACTAGGAACAAAAAGTAAAAAAAAAAATTATTTACCTGATTACAGCTTAACTGTATAAGAATTTATTTCAACTTAAATTTTAAGAACAAAAAGTTTTGATGTATATTTTTTAAAGGCTCTTTATTTATATTTTTTTCCTACGTTAGATTAAGCTGAATTATAAAAGTAATAATCTTTGTCTGACTGTATTGAGGGCAAATTTTGATTTATGAAGGTTCACTCTGCAAATTCTGCTACTGGGTAAATAATGAAATTTTGAAGCAAAGAATGAATCATCAATTTTTCTACATAATATTGTTATCTATTCATTTCTTTTTTCCTACTTCAACGTATCTTTATAAATTCAATATGTTAATTAAAATATAGTATTCTTGATAAATAGGTGATTTTATGTAATTATTTAAAAGCAGCATCCCTTGTTGTGGATGACTCCCATGACATTTATTCAGTTCATAACTCTTTAAGCTTTCTTTCTACAAATTAACTTATAGATGACATCATACTTTCTTTTGTTCATAAAAAAATAGTCTCATGACTGCATTTTTTTTAAAGAAAAATAATAGGTAAAAACGGGTAAAATAAATTTACAAAATAGAATAAATCGATAAAATTTGTCTTTATTAATCTAAAGTAAACTCTATTTTTAGTTTCTCTTTTACCCATTTTACAAAAGTTCTGGTATATCTCCCTAAAATGTCTCATCTTTTTTTAATGTTCTATTTTTTTTTCTTCGTTCCACTAAAAAGCCTGAATGTGACATAGCATCTTATTTTTTCAGCATTTTTTTAAAATTTATGTTTTATTGTTGGTAACCAAGTTTTAAACTTTTATAATCAGATTTTTTTTTTTACAATAAGTTGAAGTTTATCTTAATATGTATGGGATAACTGTAGGTGGCATAATTTAATTTTTTAGTTCTTTAATACTATAAATTTGCATTATATTTGGAACCACTCAAAATCATCTGCATTTTAATTTTTTTTTTTTTTTAAGAAATTTAGAGTTGGCAGATAGTGCATTGTAAAATAATTCATATTTATTGGTATGAAAATTGAATTATAGGACTAAAACCTAAGTTATGTTATGAAATCATAACATGTTTTAATCATTAAAAACATTGGGCAACAAAGAAAGAACTCCTTGAGGATTGTGAGACGAATTCTCAAGGAATTTGCTATGCTGCTTTGGCTACAAAAAGTTACTTGCAATGCCATAATACCAAACTTAATTTAGGTGTTCAACAGTGAAATAATTATTTTTTCAAAATCATGAGCTAATTAATTATAAGTGAAATAAATAAAAGCGTTTTAATTCCTGTTCATTTCTTCCCTCAGTATATCCCAATGCCTGTGTTGTATGGAGTATTTCTTTACATGGGAATATCTTCTCTTCAAGGATCTCAGGTAAACGATCATCGTAACCTATTATTTTAAATTTCAAATACTTTTTCCTTACAATCAAAACAATTCAGATCGTTAAAATTATCATTTGAAACTTAAAGTATCGACCCTTATGTGAATTACGCATGTGTTTTAATTATGAATCAAAACTTTTAACTAAATTCCAGATTGTTGGCAGTTATGGATACTTGAGTATCAGATATAGAATTTTATGTTGTAATTCTAATTTTTGGTTAACAGTGTCCTCCCGGTGAATAAGAAATGTGCTTGCTTCCAGAAAAGGGCACATTCAAATTTTGCACTTAAAATAATCAGTTACTTGAACAGAATATGATTGTTATGTTAAACAGTTATGACTGTAAAAGAAACTTTTCTGATAGAAGATTTATCATATTGTTTTAAGATGCTCTGATATAATAAAATGTTTCCAAAGTTAAAGAAGAGCCCAATTTTGAGTATGTCAATAAATATGCTAAATGGTTATGTAAATATATATATATCCATTTAGCATTCATAATTATGGATGCTATAACAATAATCTATCATCAATAAAAATAAAGAAAGTGTAATTAAGCAAAGACGCCCTGTGACTGAGTGGCACTTCGCGCTCCCGTGCCAGAGGTCCTGGGTTCAATCCTCGGGCCGGGCAAGATTGACTGAGCTTTTCATCCCTTCAGTGGGTCTATAAATGAGTACCTAGCATGCTTGAGAACTAAACACTGGAGGTTTCGCGTTCGGCTGACCATTTAACCGGAACATCTGCTCCTGCACCCCAGAGCCCAAGGTTAAGAAAACTGAGATGGGCACTGTAGGCCTTAGCCCACTATGGGCTGTTGGGCCGCTGAGTTTAGTTTTTTTAGTAACTAAGCAAAGAGGATAATGTCCTAAAATAAATTAAAAAAACGCAATTCCAACTAGCCTGAAATGTGAAATTATTTTTAAAAAAATTTTAACAATCTGTAATTTAGTTGTTTGCTTTAAGATTTACAGTACTTCCTAAAACGCAGAGTAGTTTCTGACAAAACTAGACACAAAAAATAAATTTTTTTAAAAAAGCATGAGTTTCACTTTTTTTGATTGATACTGTAAGTATTGTTTGTATTAATTTTTTTCACGTTCACCTTATTTAAATTTTTTGTGTCTGAAGCATATAAAAAAAATAGTTTGTAAATAATATGTCTCTTCTCACAGTTCTTTGATAGAATGCTGATAGTTTTCATGCCACAGAAATATCAACCTGACTATATTTTCTTGAGAAGTGTGCCAACTAAAAAAGTTCACTTTTTCACATGTATTCAATTGGTCTGCTTAATTATCTTGTGGCTGATCAAATCTTACAAGCCTACATCTATAACATTCCCTCTAATGGTAATTATATATTTTTAAATACAGTTTTGTTGTAGTTTTTCATTATGGCAACTGTAGTAATGGGTGAAAATTGTTATAGTACCTGTTCACTCATTAAAAGAATCATAAATGCATGCTCAGTTCTACTGATCAACTTTTAACAATACTTCTATGTTAAGTCTCTCAATTTACCTTGGGTAGTATAATCTGAAACTTTGTGTGCTGGAATTTATTACCTCCCCACGCATTTAATCGAAAAGCATTACATCATAAGAACAACATGCTGACTACGCAGGGAATGCTAGGTTCCCAGGGTGAGTAGCGTTTTTAAAAAGTGTTTAATTTTTCCTTTTATCAAAATGAGATTTTCTCTTTTTCCATATCAATTTTTGCCGCGAATTTCGCAAAAAGCTTGGCTTTCACATTGTTTTATTCAACTTTTGCATTATTCATTCATCTACAGTTCTGCACACCATCGGTCCATAGCGTATGAAAGTGCTAATCCCCCATTTTAAATGTTTGATGACATACCTGAGAGTCCGCATATGCATATACTAAGCAGGATTCAGTGGGAAGGATTCTTGCATTCTCATGCGCAACTCTGCTGCATTTTGCAAAAGATTCTCAATTTCAGGCTTCATTTTTCGCCCTCTGAAATTGAACTGAGAAATCTCTTGAATTTTCGCTAATCACGGGGACCAACTAAAATATGCCAATTTTTTTTACCCTAAAAGCAAAAGAACATTTTACTTTTGTCTATTTCATCCTTGGTGAAGCACCATCGTTTTCGTCACTGCCAAGCTAATGACCTTCTCCCACTCTTTTATTTATAGATCAGTACCCTAATCCTTGAACTTAACTTGGAGATCATTCAATAATTACGAATTTTCATGTGGGTTCCCAAAGTAGTAAAGAATCATGAAGTTTCATTTCAAAATTTTCATTTCCCTTTTATTTATTTAATTAAGATAAGAATTTATTGAGATATTAATTCATATGAGTCAGTTTTTTTATCTATAAATTTATATAGATTTATTACTTAATTTTGATCTGGAATTAAAAATTTACTTTTTCAACTTTTATTGTACTTCATCACTTTTTTTACTTATTAAATTTTTTTTTTACATATTACTTTTTATCACTGTATTATTACTTTTAAAATTTCTAGTACTCTTGACTTATTTTATGAAGAAACTAAATAATATTTATAGACAAGATTTGAAGAAGTATGAAGTGAGGGAAAAAATATTAGCAAACAATATTATTTATTCAGATTTTTCATTCCAAAAAACTTTAATTCATCTTTTAGTGATTCAATTTAAAAACAATTGTAATAAAAAAAATCATTTATCTCAGATTTGTTAAATATTATGAGCGTAGGGACCGTATAATAATTTACTTCCAACAAAAATATTTAGCTTCAATATTTATTGTATTTACATATCAAAATTATTTTAATTTTTTTTAAGCATTTCATTAAAGAAATACTGAATAACAAATTTTAATAAAAATTTATTTAAGGCTATTCACTAATTTACATTTGTGATATGAATTTATTAAAGTTTGCTTAGTTTGCTTAATTCTTTACATATCTTTATAAATTCGGTATGATCCATAATATTAATCATGTTCATGTTTTATTGAATATGCCTTCATAAATAACTTTTATTGAAATCTAAAAAATACACTGGATAAACTTTTTAAATAATTGTTAAATTAGCTATAATTTTATTTATTAGTGCGCAGATCCTAATTATGATATTTTTTAAGTGCTTAAATTAAAATGTACTTAAAAGGTGCTTATTTTTTGTTGAGAAATTTGGCTATGCACCCTGGTTTCATTTGCTGGAAGCCATCTAGAGATCCGACAAAAATAGTAGCAGCAATAGCATTGAGATATGAGTGACAGTTCTTTTTAAACTTTTACATGATGTCAATGCCAACACCGTTTTGCAAAAAATAAACCATTGTAATTATCTCTAATTTGAAAATATATGCAAATTCCGAACTACAGCATGAAAAAAATGCAATATGACTCTTTATTTGATAACCCTGCTACCTAGAGGCAGCCCGCACGTTTGCCGTATCAGGTGTAAACAGAAGCCCAAAATGTCAACAAAAAAGTAAGAATTTTGTCCGTAGAACAGTGTGATTGGCGTGTTTGATCTGTAGAAAGTTTAGGTAAGGTTATTAGAACATATTCAGAAACTTTTCATTTTTAACTTTATCAAATCATTTTATGTTCAATCTTTGTTTATATGTTTATTCATAAATGTTTGGTTTTTATGGATGTTTTTATTGACACAATGCCAAGCATCAGCTCCATAGTAAAATGTAAATTTAATATTGTTTTCAAATTTTAATGTAAAACTCCATTGCAATCATTATTTTTCTTCGTGAAACGAAAAAAAAATATTAAAAGAATTAACTGTTCTACATCAGGTAAGCAGCATATGAGACACAAATTTTAAAAAGTCTTAATGTGCTCATATCTCTAAGAAAAAATTTGGGTGCCATTTAGAATATAGAAGCTACAATTTGTTTGCATTCTTAGAAAGTGTGCTTAAATTAACTACAAGATAGAAATATTGGTCACTTACAACCTAACTTAAAATTTTAAAATTAATAAAAATTTTCTTCAAATGCTATTTTTTTCAGGTCCCCCCTTTTTTTTCCATGCATACTGTATTTAAAATAATTGAACATCAAAATTTCTGCTATTCAGTGACTTTGTTCAACAACTTATTTTTGAAATACTCTGTATCAAATTTCATTTTCTTTTCGTGCAGTTGGTGGTGATGATTGGTGTTCGTAAACTTCTGGACTTTGTCTTTACTCAAAGAGAATTAAAGATATTGGATGATGTGATTCCAGAATCTGCAAAACAGTCAAGGATGAATGAGGAGGAAACACTTGAAGAAACAGAGGTAATAACTTCAGGTCTCAGTAAAAATGCCACACAGGTCTCTTACAGCATTTAAGAAAGGCCTTATTTTATTTCTTAAAACCTTCAGAAGGCCATAGTTTTTATTTTAAGGGTACTTATAGTCAGTGATATTGCTTTTTAACATTTCCTTAAATGTGAAAAACATATTTATATGTTTTATTATTATAAAAACGTTGTACCTTGGAAATTAGGAAAAGTTTGATTTCTTTTTAGCAACAAGAAAATGTTTTATTTCTTATTACGCTGCAAAATTTCAAATACGAAACCGATGTTTTCCTGGGTAATTGTAACTCCCATTGTTGTATCGTTGCTTTGAGGTATGGGAAAAGTAATTCCTTTTATTTATTAAATCTTTAAAAATAAAATTAAATCGATATTGTTTTTTTTGTTAGCTTTAATTAAATTTAAAACTTTTTGTTAATAAAAAGTTGTATTAAAATGTAAGCAAAAAAAAAACTTTAAATTTTTGTAGGTTATAGAGAATTTTTACAAAGTTTTCACATTAATAAATTTGCCAAATTTTACATAATAGTTTTCTTTATAAATTCTATAAGTGTCCCCTAATTGTTTACAAACTGTTTAAAGTTTACTGCTGCTTAGTTTAAAAATTGGTAATTTATCTGAATGTTTTTATTATTTTGGACTTTAGTTTTTTTATCTATAAATTTATATAGATTTATTACTTAATTTTGATCTGGAATTAAAAATTTAAAATATTTTTCATAAAAGTCTATTTTATTGCACAAATAATGACAAAAAAAAACTTGAATTTTACATTAATAAGAATAAAAATGTAAACTACTTGAAAAAAGATAATATAAATGCTAATATTATTTTATTTATTTTTTTTTTTGTTTTCTTAGCCTTATCTAATCTTTACAAAATAGTTTTGTATGTAATTTTTCAATATAAATTTAAACTGTTTATTATTATGCTATTTTGAATTTAATTGAAACAAATCAAACTTTCCTATATTGAACTTTGAAATTTTCATCTAATAGATCTGGTGCTTTGTTTTATGATCTAACATTAAGTTAATGCCTATAATTTTCTATTTATTGTCGTCTTGCTTTCTTTTATTATATTTTTCATAACATATTTGTTGAAAGAGTGAACTTTGCTAAATTGACCTGAAGGTATAGTTTTATAAAAATGTATGTATTATAATATTTTTCAGAAACTCAAACGCTGTAGTTCTTTTACAAAACTCAGGGTTCTCACGGTCCTTAAAAGTCCTTAAAAACAGCTCAATAAGTCCTTAATTTTTCAGCATCACTATCGGAACAATTTTTCAGTTCAATTCTTTCAAACAAAATAATGTTCTTCTATCACCTAGAATTCGACCATGCATAGAGGGCATGCATCATTTTAGAAAGACAAAAATGAATGTGTTTGAGGGGAAGGAAGCATGTCCTTTTATTAATATATTGGTTCTTTCATTATGCTTTCTCAGGGGGGGGGGGCAGTTTTAAGGTACCTATGTAGAAGACCCACACTAACCTTCAAAATTGACAGAATTCAAGAAATTCAGTTCTACTGGTCATCTGCTTATAGGAATTATGTAAAACCCTAAGAAGCGAAGTATCAGAAATATTTTTTGTACTAGAGTCCATAACAAATTCTATTTCCTAAAATCTTGAAGAATTTAATTAATTTGTATAATATTTCAATGTGTAATAAGTAACTAAATTTATTGAAAGCAGTGACATTTTTGTAAAATTCCTGATTGTACTAAAAATTAAACAGATCTGTAATAAGCAGGGTTTCATCAAAAACCTGGGTTTTTGATGAAAACCTCAAATTTTTTCAAAAATACTTTTCCTGAGTACTAAATAAGAATGCATGATTTACTTCTTTAAATATTTAACTATTTATAATTTGTTTAGTTGCAATGTAAATTTTTTTTTAAAGTTTTAGATTGTTACACTATTATTTTAGTTTCTTAAGGGTAAGCAGATTGTTACATAATATTTAAATCTACTCAATTAAAGGATCCTTAGATATTAATAAAATCTTTATTCAGTTAACATTGTAACTTAATATAATACTGTTTTTTTTTTTTAAATTTTTATTAAATTTTTGGTTCCTTTAAAAATAGTTCATGTTTTTCATCAGATTGTTTAGTAGCATCATGTAAAGTTAATTCTTAATAACAGGCTTGGCTAGAAATACTTTTGTGTAAAACTCATTATAAAAGTAAATATAGCACATTTGTTATTTAGTAATAATTTCAAAATTGTTAAGTATATACCATTTTCAATATGTTTTTCATAAAATATTTCAATATTTTTTTACGAAACGTTACCTGATAAGGTGATATTACAGGATTATTTTATAATAAAGGAACACCACTTTCAGTTTTGAACTGTTAATTTGTGATAAAAAAAATTTCAAATCATAATAATAGTTAGAGTATATTAGGAATGGTAGAGGATGGTAAAGAAATATTACTAGTAAAAAGTTTTTAGTTTTTTTCCAATGGCAGGCACTGAATTTGAATCTTTTGCCTATACCAGGGATAGCGAACCTTTATACACCAATGTGCCATTTTTTCCAAAAATTTTTTTTAATAAGGTCATAGACGTGCCGTCAAATAATTATGCCTTCGTGATTATTGGAAAAATAATAATACTAAATACTATCAACTCAAAACTCTTTAATTACACTGAAAAAAAATATTTTGCAATGTCACAGTTATACGCTTAATTCAACTTAAAGTAACACCAGTGTGACTTCTGCTGTTGCAGATTAGATGACAAATAACTTATATTAGGTTGTAAGCTGTTAGTTTAAGCAGGACTGTTTATTTTTTTGTTATTTATTTATTATTAGCTTGTTTTTTATGGTTATTAATTGCTTTTTTAGCATTAATTGTTAATTTTTTTCATTAATAATTGTTTATTATTTTGCGTGTTTTTTGTGAATTTTAATTTAATTGTTACATATGCTTCATAGTGAAATAGAATTTGAGTAATAACAATTCATAGTGTAATAACAAATGGGATCTGTGGCGTGCCCAAAATATTGTGTCGGGTGCCATAAATGGCACCCGTGCCATTGGTTCGCCATCCCTGGCCTATACTATGCCAGAATTGTTGCTCATTTCGCGTTACCCAGTGGACACCTGTGAACCAAAGTCACTGAGGCGAGCAACATTGCCCACGCCACACTGCCACAAACCAGTTTATAGGGTGGGCCACATTCACACATCATACACACGCACAAAGAGAAGAAAAACATCCATGCTCAGAGCGGGATTCGAACCCGCAGCCTATGGCTTCGCAGTCAGGCACGCTAACCGCTCGTCCACCTGGCCGGCACTAGTAAAAATCTATAAATGATTAAGATATAAATAATTTATCCGTATTTATTAATTAAGGAACCTTATCAACTTTTGGGCCATAGAAATATGTTGATATCTTTAAAAAATTGCTTTAGACCCTTTTGTTTGCGTGTTTACTAACTGATAAAAACCTAATAATAACTAATAAAAACAAACTAATACGAGAGAGCTAATAAAAAGCAAATTGGTAACTAACTCTTGGTAATTAACTCTTTTCAAATGTAATTGTATTTTTATTCTATATAAATTTTCATAAAAATATTTATTGCAAGGAATTTAAAAAATATATTGAGTTAAGCCTTATGAAAAGAATGTGGAATGATTTAGGGTGCTTAGATGTTAGTATCGCCTGTTTTTACTCAAAATAGGACTTAATTTTACATGGCGCAGTTAAGAAAACTATTCTCAAGCATAACTCTAATTCAACTTTTTAGTATTAATTATTTTAAGATATACCTTCATAAATGAAACATTTTATTTTTTTTAGCGTAACTGAATATTTAGCAAGATTGGCCCACAAATGAATATGTAATGCAGGTCAAGTAGCGAAATATAAAAACTTGTTGTAATAAATTTTTCAATGTTTTTGCCAAATTTCTTTCTTTACTCTTTTTTTTTTAATATACATGAAAAAAATTGCACATTTTAATTTCTGGACATTATTTTACAATTCAATTTCAAGGAAATCATTAAAAATTGAATATGGATTAGTTTCATAGAGGATGTTAACCTCAACGATCTGAAAATGTTTTTTAAAAAGAAATCAACCCGGGTTTGCAAAAATTGCCTGGTACTTTGGCGAGCCCTGTTAATGAATGCAATAATTATCAGTGCTTACATTAGGATAAAATTGTTTATTTTTTTTATTTATCGATTTTTTTTTAAGCGATGTAAATAATTGGCACTGTCACTGTTAGTGTATGTATATATATACATTCATTTTAAAGTCCTTAATTATTTCAAGAAAAGGTCCTTAAAAGTGCTTAATTTTTGCTTTGTTAAAAGAGTGGGAACCCTGAAGCTGTAGTGAAAATATAAAAGATTTACATACTATTTCTTTTTTATACAGATTTCATAAAACTAAGGAAACTGCAAAACGCTTTTATTTCATAAAAATTCATACATTAATATTTTTTTAGTTGATCTTTAATTTCAGATTAAATCAACAAAAAAATAATATAGATTTTGAAAAGTTCTTAAAAAAAGTTCATAAGGAATCTTTTTTACTAGGAGTAACAGGTAAAAATAAGAGATAACATTCACAATTTAAGTAAAAAAGGTGATTCAAAATGTTTGTTGTTATCAAACTAGTTGTGGAGACATAAGATATGCTTATCAACTTTTGAGCAACGATTATATTTGTTCGAATAATTTTGTTCTTGTTTGAAAAAATAACTCCTTTCCAGGGTGGTCTGAAGCCAAATGCTAGTTCTGGTAATGTTGCTATTACATTGGCTAATGGCAACATTCTCAAGGTTCCAGTGGAAAAATTCAAAGATGATCCCGACCAATCTGCTATCAACATATCAGAACAACTCAACAAATCTGGAATTTGGCAGAGTATTGATCAGAAAGCGCAAAACGTCCCGGTTGTCAATGAGCCTAAAGTCAACAATTCCTCGAAGTAAGATTAATTTGATTGCTGTTGGGGCTTTTTTTTTGTGTGTGTAATAGTGAATACAAGTAAACAGTTTCATACGCTAGTGGTTATGCTTGCTCAAAAGTATTTTTACTGCATAAATTGAGTTTTTATATCAGCTGTGATCTCGTTAATTTTTAACTTATGTAAAAAGGCTCTTCTCATTTTTGTAATCTGTCCATTTAAATCTACTACAAATTTTGGAAAAATTTGCAAGATGTTTAGTTCTAAGCACAATAAAAAGGCTCATCAGCCAAAAATAGGAATTGAATTTGAAAGAAATACTTAAGAAGAACAAGAACTCTTACCTTTTTTAGTTAATTAATGTTAACTAACAATTTTTTAATTAATGGGTTAGTTATTCTATATAAAAAAGATTTGACTACCTTCAGTTTAGTAAGAACGATGCATAAGGCAACATATATTATTTACTTACATAATTCATAAAGAAAAAGAAAAAAGGTCTGAAAACTTTTTTATTTGTTTATTTTAGCAGTTTTTTCCCCTAGTTTATAGATAAGACATTTCTATTCCAATTCAATCATGCATTTTAAGTAATCATAAAAAAAATTATATTGCAGTGATACAGTTTGAAATGTATTGTTATTATTTATTTTCCAGATATAGTCATATGCAACATCATAAATCACGTGAATTATATATTTTTTTTAAAAAAGTCCTGAACCCTGCTTTTTATGTTCTAAGTAAATGTTTAGCATAATTAAATTCTCTTATTTTAGTAAAAAGAAGCGTGGCAAGAAGAAAGATGCCATTTGCGATGAAGAGCACAAGCGTCTGTCTACTATGGCCGAGGAAGACGACGAAGACGATTGCGGAATCATGATCAGAATCGATGCCCCTACACCTACTCCCTCTAATGTCACTTCTGCTCACAGCTCCCCCAAGCACTCCAGAAAAGGTGGGGATCAGAACGAGACATCAGTGTGAGAAGAACAAAGAAGCCTTTTTGTGAATTGCACGTATCCACACCTGCCGAACAGCTCATTAGTAGTGTGTAAATAAAGGAAATCAGAGGGGGTAGAGCAACAGCGAGTGTGTAAATTTAGTCTTCCGCAACGAAGCATCAGTGTGCGTGTGTGAAAGTGTTTTTAGACCGGAAAATGTTGTTTAGTACAAACCTTACGCATGAACATCATGGTTAGAAAGAATATAATTTTTATCATCTTATTAAAATTCGTTATTGCGGTTTGTAAATTAGGAATTGCATTCAATAGGGAAAAATATGCTAGGATATTTTTTTAAGCTTAAATTTTTAGAGTTTTAGAAATTTTTTTTTTTAAATAAAATGTTTCTGTTACTAGAAAAAAATTACTTACATTGACATCCCCAGAATTGATAATACACACTCACATTGCATCTGAATTCTGTTATGGGAGCTATGGTTCATATCCTGCTTCAGTTCAACAAAAACAAATTTCTATCCATTTAGTGCAATAATTATACTTAAATTAAAATAGTATTTTACCTACTTATTTGAATTTGAGGAGGGCAAGATTTGAGTTTTAGAGAATAATCTGATCTTTTGGAAATAATTTGAATATATACCTAGCTTGTGAAGAGCAAATGTGTTTAAAAAACCCAACATTTGGCTGCATTTAATTTCAATACATTCTAAATAACATTTTAAAAAGTACTGATATTTAAAACCTTTTTTGGCTTCAGATTAATAATTAAATGGAAATAAATAAAGACAAGGCAGATTTTTATTAATATTTCTGCCATTGCTGAAAGAGTAAGAAATTATCAGTAACGTATATAATGCAAATAATTCGAATAGCACTTTTTTCTAAAAGCAGTGAACTCTTATCTTTTAGACTAATTCAGTGAGGCATAATAATTGTAGCTCCCATCGAACAACTGAGTGTGCACTCAATTTTAAAAGCAATTGTGTGTTTTGTTTCATTATTTTAATTGTATTAACTATTTGTATATATGTTAAATCTATTGGTTTTATAGACAAATTTGTTATCACATTAAAAAATTTTAAATTAAATCACTTGAGGTTTGTACAGTTTTATTTTAACTTTGTGAGACTTTTTTTTAAGTGTGAAGCATATTTAATTTATTGATCTCTCATTAAATTATTAGAATTTCAAGATTTCATGTATAGCTGTTGCTATAATCTATGGTGACTAGGAATCAACCTGAATATAGTTATAGCGATATCTTGAGGAAATCTTAATTTGCATTTGTGTGAAAAGTGTAAAAGATTGTATGATTTAAAAAATTAGTATTATATGTAATGAAAGTATTGTAAGTATTTTTCGTAGTTTATTTATGTTTTTTGACACTTTTTATTACTTTTTTAACTTAAATTATTATATAATGTATTAAGTAAAATTTTATTTTAAAAAAAGTTCTATGTTTTTCCATTTAATCCATACATTATAAAATGCATGATTAAAAATAAAATTATTCTCTAGATACTATTTTCTCACTATGCAATAAATAAATAAAATTAAAAAAATACGCATATGTAACTATAGATGCATGACTGTTAAAGCAAACCTGTACATTTTATTTCTTTGCAGGCTAGCTATCTCTAACTAATTATAAATTCTGATGAATACTAAATATTTTTGCGCAATATGTCTTATTTTTGTTTTAAATATTTTACTCTACATTAAATATTTATATCAAAAACTTTTAAAAATGGGGTAATAAAAAATAAATATTAAGTTTTAGAATGATTGATAGAACAGTTGGTAAAAAAATTTACTTGTTATAAAATCATTATTTTTAGGTTTTATTATAAGATTTCATTATTTCTAATATTTTAATGCGGAATTTAAACTATACAAAAAAAACTGAATTTATAAATTAAATTTAAAATTGTGGATATTATTTTGCAGAATATTGTTCTTCCAATTTTGTTTCTGTGTTACTTCCACTCATATTTTGTATGTTTAAAAATCTTACTTAAGATACTCATTCTATGAACTATTGTCTGATTCATCATTTAGTTTCTGTATTATTATTTTAATATAAAATAAAAATAAATATTCCTTTTTCTTGCAATGCTTTTAAAAAAATATCAAGCAGTAATTTAAGTAACCTTTGGTAAACTAAGTCTTAAAACAGGTCTGTTATGGACACATTTTAAGTTAGTTTCCTGCTCAAAAAGTTTATAATTTTGAGTGTTTTGAACCATTTTTAAAAGCTGTTTTGTGGAGGAGAAACATGTTTAAAGTTACACAAAGATCTCATCTCCTGTTGTTACATAGCAAAATTATTTAAATTTTGGTTCAATTTTTGTTGATTATTTTGGAACTGTTTTATATGTTAAGTAAATCTCAAGCTTTTCCCATTATAAACTACATTCATGGGGAAAATGTTAATATTTACATGGCAACATAAATGAACTGTACTTGTTTGTATTTTTAACTTAATCACAATTGCTAATATTTGAACAACGAATGAGTTCCGAATAACCTTGCTAACCCTAGTATAATAATTGTAAATGTACATTGAAGTGTATTTAACTTTTTTTTTTTTTTAAAAAAAACTGAGTTTTGATTTTTATCTTTAAAAATGTGCTAATAATTAGATAAAGGATCTAGGTAATTACCTAGCAGTATCGACTCTTTTGAAAAGTTTTATGTGATAGATAGTTGCAATTTTTTTTTAAATGCGAAATGTTCAAACTAAATTCAAACATTGTTCAAACTTTTTAAATGGTTTGATTTTTAAGCCAGTCATAATATGATGTAGAACAGAAAAATATGCTTTAAGACGTTATTAAGTAAGACAGAAAAATATGTTTTGAAATTATTATATTTACTACTTTTTAGTTTGATGTATTTTAGTTTGCTGCTTATAAAAATTCTATAATACTGTTTTTAAGAAAAATTTTAAAGCATATTTTTTCTTTTAAGTCTCCAAAATAATATGAATATTGGCTCAAATAAAGTAAAACAATGCCAATAAAACACAAAAGTACAAAAATGGACTCACAGTGGTTCGTTATCATTATTAACAAAAGCCTTCCTCTGTGTCTTAACGCACTTTGAGGTGAATAATATCTTTCGTTTTTAGATACTGAGGTAGGTTCTTGTCTATACAACATCTATAGTATGTCCATTTCTGCACCTTTATGTGTGCTTTAATGTTTTACTTAATTCATGTGTGGTATAAAGTATATGCTATCTTCATTTGTATGTTGCAGTGTTTTTTATTCAGTGGGTCATAAAATAGTTAAAATATTGTTTCATCAGCATTAATTAATAATTTAATTAAGTTGATGTATCAGAATGTAATATTTCAAACTTTTTTTTCACACAAATATCAATGTGTCGTGTGAAGGGATTGTGAAATTATTCTAAAAATTTTAAAACCAATAAACTTTTACAAGATGTGAATATTAATAAATCAAAGAAATTAAAATGGGCAAAAATTATTTTAATATAAAATCTTTATAATTTCAAAACAATGTGCTTCAATCTGTGTAACAATTTTAAGAACCTTCATAAATCACAGAGCTATGTTTTCGAAATAAATTGTCCATCTAACCTTCCTAGTTTTTTTTAGCTTTAATTACAAAAATATATAAAATTAAAATAAAAAACTTTTTCGCAGAAGGTATAAATAAAAGCCTAAATTATTAATATCTTAGATTTAATTTATTTTATGGATTAAAAAATATCTGAAACCATTAGAGTTCCAATTCATTTTTTATTGCATGAAAAACAGTCTGTTGGCTTTTATAATTGGTGCTTTCCAAATTGTGTTGTAAGCTTAATCAAATCTCTCTAAAAAGTGATGAAGTTATTTTTAAAGTAATCCTTCTACCTTTGTTTATACTCAAACATATTTATGGTAAAATCTAGCTTCAAAAAAATTCTCCAGCTATCTGGATAGCAATTCTTTCATGTTTTTTTCACATTTAAGAAATTATTCTTAAAATTCAAAAAGGAACTACTCTACTTATACTTGATTTGAGAAACAGATCTTTTAAATCCTTTTTTCATTGTTTTAATATAAATCAAATTTTGTTGCAAAAAATATCCCTCTTTATTCAAATATAAAGTTTCTTAATGAATCTTTTAAAGCTATTATTGATTATTTCCCAGAGTTTTTACCGATCAAAATTGCATTTAAATGAAATGCTGATAGATAAATATTTATATTTGATTGATGTGCATGGCAACAAACTCATAAATGTATGCAAAAAAAAATTTTTTTTGAAATTCAAAATTTTTTACTGCTTTAAAGTTTTTACACATACTACATCAACAAAATTGCACTTAAATATATATATATATATATTCATTATACTTTTAATTAACAAAATTCGCAGATTTTATTTTTGAAATTTTAACATTTTCTTTTAAAAAATTTTGAATTAATATATACAATGTTTTACAGTTTAATAAGATTTTAAAAATGTATTTTGATAACTATTATAAAGTTGAATAATAATAAATGATAGTTATTAAACATGTTTTCATAGCTGCCAACCAATAAACTACTGGATTTTGCTAGTTTCTATTTAACTAAGTATTACTAATACATAATGAAGTGAGCCTCATTTATAGTCATTATTTTTAAGTTTTTTTTTTCTAAAATATCCTGTTCATTATTATTTAGAACACCCAATTTAAATTAAGAAATCTTAACTATCAATAATGAATCATTTGTCTACTACCATTTAAAGTTATGAGTTAGCATTTTAAATTCATTTAATCAATTATGAATTGATGAGTGCAGACCATTTATAGTTAATAAGGACAAAAAAAAATCGCTAAAATTCCCTATACATAAAATATTTAATATATATCTTACAGTTATTATGAAATTTATATTATTTTGTAAAATCTACTGGATTTTTTTTATCCGTGTTGGCAGCTATGTATTTTGATGAAATCTTTCTAAATAAACAAGTTTTATAAATGTTGATTAAAGTCTCTTAGGTATGACAAAATGTATGAATAAGTTCATTCGCATTGCTTTTGAAGGACAAGAAACCTTTTTTCATTATTTTGTCTAAAAGGATTATCATTTACTAATCTGCATATCCTAAATATTTTTCATTAACTGTTAAAGATGGCGGAAATCAAGTACTGAGAATTTAAACTTAATATGAAAGTAATTTTATGAATTTTTTTTTTCTGTGTGCATAAGTTACTTGTTCACCCGGAAGCAAAGATTACAAAACAACGCTTCTTTGGCTCTTCAATTCCAAGCGTATTTTCCTTGACAGATACTTCTGACAAAATGTATTTATTAGTTCATGCATCACACAAAATGCTTTCAGTAATACATAGTAATACTTTGTGTTATCATATATATATTCATTCATTCATTTTTCTTTGAGTAGCTGAAAACGTTTCTTTAAAAAAATAATTGCGTTTTACTCTGCTTTTTACAGCACAAGAACTGAATCAAAAAAAATTTCTAATTTTTCCCTAATATGCATATATTTAACTTTTTTTTTATGTAGATATTGTATTAAAATGGGTGAACCAAGACAAAGTTCTAAGTATGTTCAACTAATATTTGACAATCAAGTGTAGACGAAGTGTTGTTGATAGAAAGAGAAGTTTGAAGTCTTGATTAAGGATTTTTTTTTTTTTTTTGCACTAAAATTATTGAGTTTTAGTAAAACATGCTGTTCGAATTTTAAATAATAGATAAATTAGCCATTATAGTTAAAATAAATAAGTCTTTAAAAGTAGGTTACAAGTGAAAATAGAATTTACATCTAACATTGTGCATTACTTAATGATAGGAAATACCTTGTGTTTCAGATATACTCAATCCTTTGAGTATGTGTTTAAATAAGTTAGAATTTTAGTGGCGCCATCTGTTAACTTTTTTGCGTTTCTTTTAATTTTTGGAGCTGAATTACATTGTAGAACTCAAATAGTCATTCATAGAATGATCAAAGCCAAAGATTTAGAATAAATATATTTTTTGTGACTGTCAAACATACGATTGAAACGTACTAAAATACTAATTAATTTTTAAAATTATTTACATATATATATAATTGATAATATTTAAATAAAATTGACTTTAACATCTTTGTTATACCTCCATACAGATGAATACTAAAACTCTATAAAAAAATTTTATTTAAATACATTCTGTTTTTGATCTTCTTTACATTTACAACAGCTGAACTTAATAATAATGAGTTAATACTCATCTCTGGTCACATGTCCTAGGTGCCATTGAAAAGGGAAACTTATTTTCTTTCTCTCAGTTTGTAGAATTTATTTTGATAATGTTGCAATGACTCTTCAAGTATATTTTCAAAAGTGATTTTCTTCATTTACATTAAATTTGAAAAGATTAGAAAAAATCATTTCCGATCAAATGACTGTTAAATCTCCTCTCTTTCATCCTGCTTTCAATAAACTAAGTTTTGTAGTTTCAGACCTTATAATTTTTCCAACTGAAACTTAAGTTGTGCCAAAAGGATCACAAGTGTATACGTAACAAATAAATGTTAAAATTTGTTATGTATGCATCTTTGGTTTGTAAAATTTTTTTTAACGAAACAGACCTCAATCTGCAGGTACTGAAGCTGAGAGAAAATTTACATTTTATCCAAAATTAATGATAGAAAATTTTATCTCTCAACAATTTTTTCTCAACCTTCTCTTTAAAAAAAAAAAGTTTTCATGAGTTGAAGCATTGGTTAATCATTATTTTGGTTGTACAGTATATGAAATAAAGCAACAACCTGATGGAGGTTAAGGCTCCTCAATCTTCTGCCTGGGTAGGATTCAACTGGAGATAACTTCAACCACGTTCTGGCTTTTGACTATTCAAATTCAATCTATTATGTTTTTCTTTGATAAGAGGCTCACATTTTAAAATCTAAAATATTGTTGTCATTCACTTAACATAGAAAGCCACAGTTTCAGTGCCTTACACTTAAAGCAGCTATAATTTTAAACTATATGCGTCATCGTGCATCGAAGAGTTATATGGGCTTAAGAGCGCAAAAATAACTTAAATATTTTTAACTTTTTTCAAATTTGCCAATTCTCAACACTTCATATAG